CTCCCATAAAAGAATTAGACATCTGCCCGATATACAACGCGCCCAGAGAACCCAGACTTTTGTCTAAGTGGGGTACCTCGTGACTCAAACTAATAGAGGCTTTCGGGTTAGACTGCTGCAAAAACATCAGTCGACGTAAACTCGTTCTCGTCTTCTAAGCAAGCTATTCACATCATTCACATGAGTACGAGAGGAAGGAATAGGAATTATGTGTATATGAATGCACAACACATAGCTTAGCGAACTCGAGAGAAGAAGGTTTGCTGTGTATAACTGTCTTTGGACAATCCAGTGAGGAATAGGTTGAGGGTAGCTGAAAGCTATTGTGTTTTAACAAAATGCACTACGCTAAAAGCTAGTGTAAAGATCTTTCGAGTGTTTTGATTTGAGAGAATGAAAGTTAGGAGAGGATTAGAAAGCTAGAAACTAATCAGGAGAGATCCTCAAGGATCGTATTGAATTGCTCCCGCGGGAGACTGTAGGTGAGATAGAGTAGGTTGCGGTAGCAATCTACTCGTTCCACGATCCTAAAAAACGGAAGCGTGAAGATTCGTCTAGCATTCATCTAGTGGCGTGGAAGTACTCCACGCTGGCTAAATACTAGAGCGATGTTTCATCATCAACCTAGTATGACTAGAGCGGTCATTGAGAATTCTGTCTCCAATGACTATTCGCGAAGGACTACGTCATGAGTCGAACCCAGACCCTATCTAGGATCGAGTCGCGAATAAGGCTAAGAGCCGTGTATTGCACAGGGGCAGCTTCGACACAACCAGAAGAAGTTTGAGGGCAAGGCAGGTAAAAAGCAAACTCAGGCACAAGAAGCAATTGATTACCTTCGGTCCCAGTGTGAGCTGGGACAGATGAGTTACATGGCACTATAGAACACTGAAAACCTTGCTTTTTGACTGCACCAACAGCAGGAAAATGGAGATCTCTGGTTGACAGGAGCAGTAGGGATACAGACAGTGACAATGGTGTGTGCTTTGTGGTTGGGGAAGGCTTGGAAGAGAGAGAGATGTTGACTTGTTCTTGTTGAATGGGTGGAATGGTGCTGTTGTTGTTGTTCTGTGGCTTTTGTGGCTGCTGCTGCCAAGCAGATTCAAAATGACCGGCAGCGAGCGAGCCAACACGACACGACGAGGTTTTGGTCGGTGGAACGAAAACTACAGGTTTTGGTCGGTGGAACGAAAACTACAGGTTTTGGTCGGGGGAACGAAAACTACAGGTTTTGGTCGGTGGAACGAAAACAAAAGGCTAGAGGAGGTTTTGGTTGGTGCGACGAAAACCTTCCGTTGAGGTGCGTTGAGCAGGGCGAACCTGTCTGTGTTCTAATCTGTACCTCTTCCGTGAGATTTTGCTGCATTCCTCATTTTTGCGGTTTCACCATAGTACGATGGCTGTAGGAGGGACCAGTTAAAAAAAGACAGTACAGTAGTCTAAAATGGTTATCGTACCCCGTCCTCCTGAAGTTCCGTTCAAGAATAGAATCAACTGGTTGGGTCTGCAATAATAGAGGAAGCCAAAAATATTTTGGTTCATTGACGTGGGGAGGAGGCTAAGGGCCCCTGTGGTACATGTATGGTCGGTATCTACAGCGTACTTGTGCCGGTAGCTAGGCTGCTGGTATCTACCGTACCGGTAGTAGAGCCATAACTGAACTCTCGCGCGTCGTTCGAACTAGCCGGAACAAGTATGCTCGGTTGCTGCTGGAGGCTGTCGATGGATGCTTAATATAGTCGAAGCTTCTTCTTGATAAATACCTGGTAATTAGGTTTATAATTCAACGAATAGTTTTATTACTGGTACTGTAGTCATACCGGTAGCAGGTCTGCTTACTGTACCTACCGTACCTGCGCTTTCTAGTGGATGTGCGCTGAATCCAACAAGGATTGCCCTCAACGGACGAGGGTCTTTCACACTTTTATCGCTGTATGTGTGTGTGTGTGTGTGTGTGTGTGTGTGTGTGTTTGTGTGTTTGTTGCAGCTGTTTTCGTCGCTCGTTAAGGATAGGGATTAATCTTGTGTGTTCTGTTGGACACAGTAGTTTCTACGCATGGGTACCAGTACTGGCTGGCTATGCAGACTCGCTAGTGTGTCCAGATAAACACGGTGGAGGTTTTGCCAAAGACATAAGGGACATTTTCCTTGTTAAGGATAGGGATTTATATTGTGTGTTCTGTTGGACACAGTACTCTGGACCCATGGGTACCGATACCACTGTGCCCGTACTGGCTGGCTAAAGAGACTTGCTATCAATAGTGTGTCCAGTTGAACATGGTAAATGATTTGACCAATCAAATCTCTTTTTGACAGTTGAGGGCATCAGCCTCGGCTGCTTGTTCTTTCATCGGCACTGTGTTGACCAAACTTTCGATCAATGACTTCACCTGATCGTCGATGAAGGACCCACATGGGAGTCCCCACTGCCCGGACACTCCAAAAAAAGAGGGCGACCTTTTCTGGTAGTAACATTTCCGGATTGGCTTGATGGAGCATCTTTTCTAGCACTCCTGGATGCACCTTTCCTTCCATTTGTTCTCTTGTATTTTCCTTGGAGGACCGCACAGCCATCTCCTTCATTTCAGGGGATAATTGATTCTTGTCTACCACGACGTCATACGCCATTGGCATTATTGGCATGTGCTCTGTGGTTTCTCCCAATTGCTGCTTCGCTGCGCCAACGAGCCTTCCATGATGGAGCAAGAGCTTCGCGTTTTCATTGGTATTGTAGCCGAAGTCTTCAAAGGCCGTCGAAACACAATAAATGTCAAAGTCTTGCTTGCTTGACGCCAACTCATTGGCAGCTGGAAGAGCATGAATATGGCATCCTGGACAGTTGGGTTGGATCAACAACAGAAGCTGAACGTCATGCGTGAGATCCTCAGAGGGAGAGCCCTGCAGCCATTCTAACCGGTCCAGAGGTGGAACCTTCAAAGGATCAGAGAAGTTTGACATTATTTTCCGTGCCTGAGTTTCAGGACAATATGCCGTGCACACGATGCTGTTGCTCAGGGTTCCGGTACCTGGTACCATGTCATGCGGTAGCTGGTTCGACGCGAGGGAGTTCCTTGGAACAAAATCCCTTTGCCATCGAAAAACAACAATAATAATGCAGTTTGGGAAAGAATGTCACCCGGCGCACAGGAATGGAACAGACTCGACTCAGGGGCCGATGACAGAAACAAAGCTCCAAAACAATTTTTTGATCTGTAGTCTAACGTCCAGTCTACGAGCAATCTAAAGATTCACTACGCTCATTCACCATACCGGTAGCATGCGCCTTTTTTAAAGACTGAGGGCTGCCGAAAGTGCTCCTTTGGCAGAATGGCCGCCGTCGGGTAGTGTTTGATTGACAGTGGTTCGTCAATTCCGCTCGGATTGTGATTCGATTCGGCACCGGTAGCTGTGGACTAAAAGCATTGTCCAGTGCAAGTCCATTGTGTGGTAGCAAAAGAGCATCTTTCGTAGTCTACCAAGGACAGTTTGCTGGTAAAACTCTATCGCCTGACGGAGCCATTCTGAGCTGATGACCTCGAAGTGATACTAGTACCCATCTAGCTAGCGCTTGAACTTGACCCACGCCTCGTTGAGTTCCGTAACCTTCAGGGGCTTGGCCAGCACATGGTCAGCACCTTTCGACTTGAAGTAATTGACATCTTCGAGGAGAACATTGCCAGTGACCCCAACAATAAATGCATCGCAGCCGTGAGATCGAATCACTTTGGTGGCATCCGGACCATTGAGTACCGGCATTTCAAAGTCCATCAGAATGGTGTCGAACGGAGTGTGCCCCTCATCCGCTTTTATCCTTTCTTGGTCTGCCAGAACAGCATCTACTGCTTCCTGGCCGTTTGCCGCCGAATCGCATGTGTGTCCAGCCCGTTGCAATAGCCGAATCAGCATCTTACGATTCATTGCTGCATCATCCACAACTAGTATATAACGACTCTCTTTTCGCAGAGAATCCCTCGGAGGTGAGGACGAAGCCTTTTTATCAGCACTGTCATTGGCGTCCTTAACACCCGGCGCGATCGATCCATTTGTGTCAGCTGTGCTAGAGCTCCGATCCGGTTCTGTAGGTGACTGGCAGTGGTATAAGGGGAGAAAAACGGTGAAAGTTGTACCATGCCCCCGACCAGGCGACTCGACACGAATCACACCTCCATGTTGCTCGATCAGTCCCTTGGTTATGTACTGGGAGATGCAGGAAATGGCGATATGTGAGCGGCATGCTGCCCTCATGATGCCAATGCCTAGGCATCACAGGCAACTTATGTCAATTTACTCACCAGTCCCAAACCACTACCTCCTCCAGCCTGGAGCTTGTTCGCATCAAACTGCACCCCCTCTAAAAAGGCAGGCGCATCAGACGTTGAATGAGACACAGCAACATTGATTCCGTCTCAGCCAAGGGATTCCACGATGAACATACCTCTGAAGAGAAGATGTAACTGCTCAGCTGTCATTCCCTCTCCGTTGTCCCGTACAGAGACTTTGACCGCGCCCTCCCGTGGATACGAGATTGGTTCTGCTTGTTGTCCGCCGCCATCTTTGCTCGTGTATAGTGGTCTGTCACCAGGCAGTCCTCCTGCAACGAATGACGCCTTGACATCGATTACACCATTGTTTTCTTCAACAAATTTCAACGCGTTTGACACGAGGTTGAGAATAACTTGCCGCAGTCGCATGTCATCTCCAATGACATTTAGCATGTTCAAGTCCGGAGTTTTGGCCTTTTCAACATCGTTGTTCTCCCCGTTACCAGGTGCTGAATTGTTGTCATTGTTTTGGATTACCTCGTGTTGTTCCAGAGTGAAGTTCAGTGCCACGTTTCGTTTTCGCGCTTGGATATCAAATGCCGACACTGATTTTCGCACAAGCTCCCAAATCGGCACAATTCCAACTTCCAGTTGAAAACTTCCCGTCTCTGTCTCAACAAAAGACAATTGGTTCGATGAGTTGTGGCTGACGAAATCAGCATCAACCACATACGTTTTGGGACCTACCAATCTTATCGTAGTTCAGCAAATCGTTGAGGATGGCGACGGCACTTTCAGAATTGTCGAGTATATCTCCAGTCAAGTCCATCATATACTTGAGGGTATCACGAAGAGAAGAAGACCCCCCGTCGTTTACGGCTGCGGAGGTTACTTCTTTAAGGTTGTCGGGTGGTTTTTCCCTTTCTTCTTCCGTCGCATCCATTTGAGCGTCCAGCTCTGAGCGTAACAGCTCGAGTCCCATGCACACCGTGTTCTGGGAGTAGACAAAGGCGAGCACGTGAGGGGCAAAGTTCATGTAGTTTTCCAAAGCACACGTTTCCGATGAGCCATTCAGTCCCGTACGGTACGTACCAGCGGCGTTCGAATCTCATGCGATACGAACCGCACGAAACGTCGCTTGATTTCCAAGACAGCCTTTTGATGGCGGGACTCTCCCCTCATGAAGAAATCGTAGGAGAAGAACAGTGCAGCACAGAAAAGAATCACACCAACAAATCCCATGGCAATAGCCGTAGGACTATTGGTTCTGAACTCATCGAGCATGGCATTGGTAGGGTAAACAGTGAGAGTGAATGTCTTGGAGGCGCTTGCCTCCGTTCCAAAGTCGTTTAGAACCTCCGAACGACCCATGTGTTCATACTGCGGATCGTGATGATCCCCTTTTCCCACCAATCTCGGTTGTCCGTTATCAATTACAAAGGTGTAAGATTCTGTGTCTGTGGACACGACACAATCCAATCCATCAACATAGTCGGGTACGACTGATGTCAAAACTTCTTCCCAGTGAATGGTAGTCCCTGTAATGGCGACCATGGTGTTGGGGTCATTCTTGGCAAAGACAGGGTTGTAAATAATAGCCGCTGGTCCTGGCCGAATAATCAATTCCAAAAAGTCTGTCACCATGGTACACACGGGTTCTTCCTTATTAGTATTGGTGGCATCGTGTTGTTGCGCACATTCCAGCATGCTGTCAGTGGCCACTCCCTGAAAGACGCGAGAGTGAACATTTAATAGCAAGGAGGTAGCATTGACATTGTTGTGTAAAAATATGGGTATAAGAATATTGTTTGGGCTGTCATAGGTTGTTTCTCCTGTAACATCCGGGAGTCTTCTATCTGGATAGGCGGGTTCTTCGCTCTGATCCGGTTTCCAAGTACCAAATCCAAAGTCACTCACACCGGCCCCTTCCGGATACCCCTGTTCTTCGTAGACCTGCTTGGCGTGTTCATGGAAAGCATCGACTTGTGCGGGTTGGACAAAGACGTTGACAGCGAGGGTCAAGGAGGATGATAATTTGGCAATTTTGCTGGCAATTTCGACGTATCCATCCAAGGAGACCATGGGCCACTGGGAAGAATCGGGAAAGGCGTACTTCATGACGCTGGCCATGACTTCTCCGCCTTGAACTTTGCGCAACGTAATGGCCTTGGCATTCTGCAAGGCACTACTGGCCACAGACTCGTACGTTTGCATTCCCACCGACTGCTCGAGGTCGTCCACTACCCAATAACTGACCACTCCGCAAAAAGCGGCCGAAAAGAGCAAGCAAACGACAAAGACCACACGGAGGACCCATGTCCGCTGTTGTTGCTGTGTCATATTAGTTTTGCTCGCTTGAGAGGATGGCTCGGGGGAGGTCATGGTGTTGGGTGTATAATGTGTAGATCAAGGACCACTAGCTAGACTGGCTACAGCCTGTGCACGGTGCAGTAAAAAGGCAACAACTCGATCCGGAAAACAACGCGGTACAGTAACGAGACACAAAGGATGGTGGTCCTCCACAACAGTTAGTCTTTTTGCTGTTCGTGACAATGATGTATTCCTTGCAAAACTGCTTGGTTGTTTCGTCTCTTTGATAATCGTTTGCTTTGTTGTTTGTTGTGGTGGCACAGTCATGTACAAGTACCGTTTCTGAACAAGTCCTTTGCTTGGTGGCTCTACTACTAGTAGTATTTGTGCATAATATGGTCATTGCGTTTTTTTATTGTGCAAGCCCCATCGAGTTTCGCTTCGCATTGTCGTGGTGGTTGGTGGTTGGTGGTTCGTTGTTGGTTTTGGGATTTGGGACGTTTGTAGAGAAATCAAGGATTTGTTAAATAAGATCAAGCTACTGAGTAGCAGCGCAATTATTTCGTGACGGAAATTAAAGCTTTAACAGTTGTGCTCATGCCTTCACTCGAGTTTTAATACTTAGAACTGACGTTTGTGGATGCTTGTTTAAAGGATTTAACATCCAGTCCTCTTGTCAGCATGCAGCATGCAGCCACCAGACTGGTCACCTTCGCGAATCGAATCGAAGAAGAGACGTAAAAAGGTAATAAGTGATCATCCTCTTTCTTCCGTTTCTGTTTTTTCAAAGCACAAAAATGAGCTAAATTGAGCTTTTATTTAGATTTTCAGAGTGGATGACGTGCGAGATCGCAAGCTGTTGCGAGTCTGTACCGGTACGGTCTGGCAATGTACCAGGTAACGTTAACTGGTACCAGGTACCGGTACCGGTACCGACTGAGTTTCCCGATTTCTCACAATTCCAATTTTCCGGATTCCATTCCTCCCAATTCCAATTTTCAGGATTCCACAATTCTAATTTTCTCGATTTCAGCCTTTTAAAAGAGTGAAAGTGTTTCGAAATTTGCTGGTTTCAAAACACAAAAATGAGAAAATTGCGCTCGTTCAGATTTTCAGTGACAGTCGAGTATGGAGGCTTGCTATTCTAGCTGGCTGTTGTGGTCTGTTCACATTGTAGTAACAGCATGCGAATGGTGTGGACCTCTTCTTCAGAATTGATCCTTCTGTTGGTATCATCTGTGTTACTGAGAGGCCAAAGACTCTGCCATGGTTGGACCGTCCCTCTGCGAACGTACCGGTACAAACCACTTGGTCGCTATGGTGTCCCAACACCGCAAGCACGCCATCCGCCCAAATCCGATGATTGGGAGGACGCGGGTTGTGATAGCGAAATCTTGGAAAGAGTAGAGTCACTCAATGCAGATGATGTGAGGACTGCTCGAGAATCGAGTCTGGTCTTTGAAGACAGTGGTGGCAAGAGTGGAATACTGGAGGAGGATGATGATGGTGAACTGCCACCGTTTGAATGGGTGGACAACCATGTGGCCATTCGAACTCTAGAACCAGTGTTGCTTCGGGAAGAGACAAACTCCATCCAAAGAGCAGCAGAGACTCTATGGGAAAGCCAAGATGGGAGTTCTTCTCGTTTCTCCTATCAATATGCCACAAATTCAGAGGCGCATGTGTCAGACTTTCCATCAGATAGTGATGCCACCCTAGCCATCAATCGAGCACTCCTCACTAAAATCTACCCCCTTATTCGGAGAGCCTTTCCAACCATCTCGCCACCCAAAGACGTTCCACTTTTTGTATATGATGCCCTTGTCATCCGATACAACGCCACCAAAAGTGGGGACAGCAATCAAACACCGAGGGCTGGACAGCCTTTGCATCGAGATTTGGGACTTGTCAGCGTCAACGTTATGCTCAATGATGCTACTGACTTTGAAGGTGGAGGAACCTTTTTTGAGAATCAGCTAAAGAACCATCTCAACCAGGGGGCTGCTGATGCCTTCAACACATCATCCAATTTGCTGCAACACAAACCACAGCCCATCAAACCACCCGGTGTGGGACACTGTCTGCTTCATGAATCCGCCGAACGGCATGCCGGTGCTGCGACAGTGGCAGGGATTCGGGATATCCTAGTTCTCTTTGTCACAGCTCCGTCGTCACCCAAAATTGTCAATGCACGCATCAAGCAATGTCGAGAATTCTGCGAACAACTACATCAAGACAACGAAATCCAGGCTTTGGAGTGCCGGATACGACATCATAACATGGCACTGCGGCTAGTTCCGAATGATGGGGAAGCCTACCAGTATTTGGGAACTGCTTGGATGGAATTTGCAGCTCTTGCAAAAGCGAACAATGATGGCATGCATCATCAGCATCATTATTTGCAACAAGCCATTGACTGTCTGCAGAGGGCAGCAGTCCTCACTCCCTGTGATTCTCGAGTTTACAACAATTTGGGCATTGCACTGGGACAACAGGTGGAACCGTTGAAGGAAGCGTCGTTTGCAATCCAAACCTCCAAAGAGGCTTATCGACGTGGCCATACACTTTTGCTGGCTTTGGCCCAGGCAGGATGCGATGTGGTAGATGAAACGGATACACTGTCTCGCAATTACGGATTGATGTTGGCCAACCAAGATCGCTTTACGGAAGCTTGCGAGGTTTTAAAAGATACTGCAGCGAGATATCTAGAGGCGGAGAAAAAAGATGGCAAGGCACCACCTCGTGGCATAGTGGAAGCGTACCAGCTATGGAAGTTTTGTCAGAGTCGCTCATTCCACGTGGCTTCTTGAGAGAGGAGCGAATGCCTAGTTCAAATTTGGAGCAACACTCATGGAGCATCGGGGCCAGGTCTCTGGCATATTGACAAAATGCACGCAGCATTGAGTCTGTGGTGGGCCTTTTTCATCCACTGTTGGGGTGAAGTTTTACCTGATACAAAGGCATCTCGCCTTCGTAAGACTGGCAGGAAGCATATCCGACGGTGCCGGTACAATGCGGTACGGTACTTGTACTAGTAGCGCAAGGGCAGCACCACACCCAGGACCCCCCATTCAATGATTTGATTCGGTTCGGTTCGGTTCGATTACTGATTCCATTGGATCATTTGTGGGGGTGGGTCAAGCAGAGATGCGGTACCGCGGTCTCATACCGGCAGGACACAGGACTGCTTTAGCTTTCGGGAATAGCAAATTTATCACCCAACAGCATTAACAGCTGTGCTACCGGTACTATGTCCTATGATCTTTATTAAATAGCAGACTATGGGTAGTCTAGAAATCTACAGGACCGTCCGACGGTTTTCGCTCAGGTTTTAAAAAAACTCAAAATTTTGCAGTTGAAACATTCCCTTAAACATTCCCTTAAAACATTCCCTTTAATCCTTAACATTCCCTTAAATCAACATTCCCTTAACGCTTCGAAACATTCCTCTAAGCCTTCATGTAAACCCCATAGAACATTCCCTTAAAAAAAATGAACATTCCCTTAAATAAACATTCCCTTAAAACATTACCTTAAATCCTCAACATTCCCTTAACATTCCCTTAAAGCTTCAACATTCCCTTAACATTCCCTAACCAGAACCACGATTTGAGCAGCTTTTAAACCTGAGCAAAAACCGTCGGACGGTCCAGCTTAGACGACCCAGCATTCTTTTACTACTAGCTATTATAGTACGGTGTAGGAAGGGAGGAATATTTTTAATTTTTGAGGGGACGATCAATTATTACTGTTCCCGATTCCATCATGTACTGGACCTCTGTGGAAACTCGAGTGGTGCTACTTTTCGTCTCCTAAATCCTTTTGATCGTCTCCTATTTAATGGATTTCGTCTCCTAAAAATAGGAGACGAAACGGATCGTCTCCTAAATCTTTTGTCTCCTCTTAAAACGTCTCCTATTTTCAACGGATTGTCTCCTATTCTCAACGGATCGTCTTCTAAGTGTACCATGTAAACTGTATGGTATCGTCTCCTAAATCTTTCGGATCGTCTCCTATTTCGAAACGATCGTCTCCTAATTGGAATGTCTCCTACTGAATCGTCTCCTAAATATAGGAGACGATTGCTTTCGTCTCTTAAATCATTTCGATCGTCTCCTATTCCTCGGTGTATCGTCTTGTAAGTATTTTTCCACGAATGACGTTTCCACAGAGGTCCTGTATGCATAGTGGTACTACCGTACCGTACTTCGTAGCTCATACTCTACTGTAAGAGTACTAGAATCCATAGTATTGAACATTGGATATAATTTTTGTTACTAATAAGTACGGTACTCCCCAAGGTCTCTTTATGTGTGTACAGCCACCGGTACAGCCTACAGCCAATCCTGGCCTGCACGCGTACACGCTACTTCAGTGGCTACTGGTAGTACCACCGTACCACCAATCACCAATGACAGGGGTACTATAACATCATACCACTCTACGGTAGTACCACCAAACTAGCTAGCATCCGATCTCACTACAAGTACGATGTACCATCCAGGCGGAGGCTTCTGTGAGATGCTCGAGAATCCTCAAACGGAATTCCTGCTGTACATGTACCAATAGGTGGTCCCATCATCGTATGGAAGAGCAAAGAGAGATATGATTTTGGCTAGTAAATTTTTTGATCGCGCACTGTGGAAAGGTTCGCGTTTTCTATTCCCAAAAGCATTGGACGTCTATGGTTCCTCCTCCCGTGCTACCATCAATCCAATTTGTTCATAATAATCACAATCCAAAATAGCTCACACAATCCTCCAAAGATAAATCCTCCAAGATGAAAATTGTTGCCTCCATCCTCAGCCTCTTGGTTGTGTCCTCTTCTGCCGATGATTGCTTGAATGTGGAAGTAAATTTTGCGTTTGGTGGAGCGATGACGGGCACCACGAACCGTGCTTTGGAGTGCTTGGGAGGGCTTATTGCTGATTGCAATGTGCTTGATCAATACAAGCAAAACTTGGACAGTGTCGGGTTGATCCTTCCTGGTGTCTCGCAACAAGTGGATTTTGCAAGTCAATCTCTGACTGACGTACAATCGAACAAAAAGAAAGACATGTTCACGCTTCTTGCTGGGGGTAAGTTTGATGCAATGTCTTTCGTGAAGCTCTCTGCCGCACGGGCCAATGTGTCTGACGAGCGAGTCAAAATCTTCTTTCTCTTGCCTCAAAGGAAACGACTTCTTTGGACCCTACCCCATCTGGGATCCAGCAGTCGATCCTCCAGCCTATGGCGAGGATTTTCCAGACGGTTTTCCTCCTGAATTCGTCCCCTTTACCGCAAAGTGGAGTGTGGAAAACCTTGAATATGCAATGGAAAGGATTGTTGAGTTGGGAGGCAAACTCATTTTGATGGGCAGCACTCTGGAACCATGCAGTACGCTTATTTGTGACGTGCTTCAACCCCCTGAGTTTCAGATTCCTGTCAAACTTTACTCTCCAGTGTGGTCGGGACAGTTTGACGCCGGAATCCAGGAGGTTGTTGCCAAGGCGAACGATAAGTACGAAGATGTGACTGTCATCTTTGTTGATGTAGTGTCCACGGTCGATGCTCTCTTGGCGTCAGGTGATTTTATCACTGACATCAGTTGCCAACAAGACGGGGGATTCTCTGGTCCCGACGAGCGTGGCAACTACGCATGTCCGGGCTACGCATGGTTGGACCTCACTCACCCAACATCGGAGTTTTGGGAAGCCGTTGTCGATGCTGCCTTCATTCCTGCTCTTGAGGCTGAATTGTCCGACAAGGAGATCAAGGACATTCGTCGCATCATCAGTTTTGGAGACTCCTATGCTGACTTTGGATCGTTCGAGGACACCCTTGATCGTGCCGATTCATTTGAGCTCTCGGGCCGGTTCCCTCCTTCCAACCGACGATCTGCTATGAATGCAGCAACCTATGTTGAAATTCTCGAGGAGAAATTGTCTGTGAGCTATCCCTCTGTTGCTTATATTCAGGAATCAGGACGGGACCCAATCTGCATGAAAGAACAGGAGTAGGAACGACAATGTTACGGGCAGATACCGGTAGCTTCTCTTCCTCTCGCAATATTATTTGAATGTCACACATTGTCTTGACTGGTGGTCTCGAGGAACTGTGATTTGTGTTGGACGTTCCCGTTTTAGTTTTAGTTTTAGTTCCATTCATGGCGAAGAGCTAGCATAGCGCACATTAATTAATCATATTCATAAGGACTTGCAACATCTTGTTGTTGACCGACTGTGGTTGTCTGAGCTGCGGTAGCTAGCGCTCTGGTCTCAGTTCGACTCCAAGAACATCCGTGATGACACGGCGATGTGGTCAATTATCAACCCATGCTCAATCGTTCCAAAGGATAAGATGGGTCTATGAAGGGTTGGTGGCTACTTTTGCTGAGAATAGTGAAGGGTCGAGCAATACTAGCTAGTATGTATGTACCGGTATTCTCCGCCCTCAGTGATTACCAAGTGTGTTGTCAATGCCCATGCCATTGAGAGCAAGCGACCCTGTCGTCGATACCTAACTGGTGCGGCTACCAAGCCATTGGGTTACGTGCGTCGAATTCTCGGTGGTGGCTTCTATGATGCCATGATGCTTCGGTTGATCAAGATCATCCCCATCCTCCAGGAGGCATAAAAGGTTGCAGACTACCGGTAGCTAGCTAGTAGATCAATCGGTGTGAATGATGAGCTGAAAGCGCTGCGAGAGCGTGGAGGTTCAAATGGTTTATGTACCGCTAACCCTGAGCTTTTAGACGATAATATCCCTTTATCTCTCCAGGTTTAACCCAAATTCGTTCAAATAATATCTACAATGTCCCTCGACATTGAGATGACTGAAAAGGCTTAACATAAATGAGGAATCTTGGGTCATTGCTTTCCGAAGAAAGAGAGAAAAGAGGAGAAAAATGAGGTGGAACATCCGTGAAACACGGGAAATATGTCGGAAGCACAAATTCGGCAACTGCAACCACAACAACGCAAACGATCGAATCAAGGAACAAAACTGGTAGACCGATTATCTATCTGAGACCTCAACTATACCAGGTACCGTAGATAATCCGAATAGACCTCCAGGAAGGGCAGCAGGTCGCCATCAGACAAAGTTGACGCTCAAGTACGCTCTAGGTTAGCAAGTTGGATAAGCAAGGCAGTTTTAGTTCATTGGACTAGTCTTTGGATGACTCAGAAGTTCAAGCCCTCCACTGTTTCGTCCAAGAAACGAAGTAACTTCACCGATGTTACAATGACTCCTGCAGCAACATCAGTGTCGTCGCAATCGCAGCAGTCCACCCTGCTGCAGTCCAAGCAAAAGGCGTCTCTGCTGTTACAGATGGCGAATGCAGTGGAGGACTCTTCTGTACGTCAACGTCAGAAACTACACGACAACAATAATGTTTCTGCTGAAACTGTGAATGATCTTTTGTGGGATCTACAAAACGGCGGCGACGACAAGAGCAAGTTACAGCAGCAGCAGCAGCATCCCGTCTATTCTTCCTCTTCCGTGATCCATCCCCAACAAGTCCAATTGATGTATTCCGCAATGATTCGGTATCGCGAAAATGCCGAATTACGGTACTCTCTCTTGGAATTGCGTCATTTGGACTTGAGCAAGTCCTTTGTGGAACTGGAAAATCGCTATCGACAGCTCCAAGTCGAACAAGAAGCCTGGAAACAATCCTGCGAAGCGCTCCAACAGGCTGCTACAGAGTCGGAAATGTCTTGTAGCAGTCGGACCAACGGCAGCTCGCGTCGCGGACGACGAAAACCAAGTCCCACACCCCCTCCCGCACAACGACATGTCAAACCCAGTCTCTCCTTCAACTCGACCGTGCCCATTCTACAGCAAGAGCTCAAAATGCTGTCATCGCAACGCAACCAGCTCTTACAGGCCAATCTAGAATTGCGAAAACAACTCAAACAGATGCAAATTCAAATGCAGACACCCAAAGAGGGAGAAGACGTCATGATGGCAACCTGTCGACGCTGTCATCCAGAGTTACTCGCGGGACGACAACAATTTGCCACCGATACATTCGCCATTTTGGTGCAAGAATTCCAACCATCGACCAACAACAACACCCTGGATGGTACCACCAGTCATCATCGCAATCACAAAGAAGAAGAAGAAGAAAAGGAATTAGTAGAGGAAGAAATGAAACAACCGAAGCCTTCTTCTAGTAATCCATTGCCACAAGAATCTGAATTTGTGCCACAACAACAGCAGCAGCAACAACAACAACAACAACAATACAACAATAGTCATAGCAGCACCCTCTTTAGCACGGATGACGAAGCCAGTTTTGAAACGCAGGAAGATGATGACCCCATGGACAGCACCATGCGACGAGAAGAAAACAAACATCAAGACAAAATGAACTTGTTGGGTTTGCAGCTCAGCACTCGACAATTGGTCGTCACACGGGATGCCACCGATCCACGTGGGCTCTGGGGGTCGCAGCATCACAAGTCAGCAGAGCAACCGACACTGCCGCAACCCGTCAAACAAAAGAGTATTGTCTGGTCGCCGCAAGAACAGCAGCATGACCAGCATCACCAACAACAACAATCACAAAGAATTAAAGCCAAACCACAAATGGTCCCCACCATGAACAATATTTTACCTATGCAACAGCAACAACAGCAGAATCATCCGAAAATGACGGTACAAGACATTCAAGTGGCGCCTAGAAAGGAAACCACTAGAAAGCTCAACATTCCCAACACCAACAACACCAAAGAGATACCGATACAACCACCCGTGACGGCAAGGCATCACAACAACCACAGTGGAATGGATCGGTATGGACAATTGGATGAATTTGGACGATCCTCTTCCTATCGAATAGTTGGAACAAACAGTGCCAATTCGTCCAACCATTCAGGAACCACTGTCCCCGTGGCAAATACCAGCACAAACACCAATGCTGCTACCGGTACGAATAATAGCAAGGGAGGAATGTCATTGTTTCGTCGGAAATCGGCAGCTGTCGTTCCCACCCAGCCTTTGGCATCAACGCAATCCCAACAACAGCAGCAACGTCGCAATCCGCAAAGGCATTCCATGATGGGACCTCCACTCTCTCCTCCTCCCAATCCGGCAGGGAAAATAATGCCACCAGTATCGTCACCGTTAGGTGCCATCAAAACTCCAAGTCTGGCTGCTGCTGCCAATGCTCGACACTTGGAACATCATTCGCGTGGTAACCAACAACAACAGACAGCCGCCGCCGCAAGACATGCTACGTCGCACCCGCAACAGCAGCAGCAACCTCCACCGCCACAATCATCGTCTCTCATTATGAATATTCGGCATTTGGAGTTTGCAGCAACTGGCAATACCAGTACGCCACAGCATCCTCCTCCGTCCGCCACCACATCAACGCGTATACAGGCGAGAACAGCGCAGGCTGCTACGACAGGGCAAGCGGGACGACGAGTGGCACAGCCTGTGCATAAACGATCAGCCCAGGATGGCAAGGGCGCTCCTACCACTAACAGTGCCGGTACAGCGCAGTCTGCTTCGACAGGGCAACCGGGACGACGAGTGGCACAACCTGTGCATAAACGACCAGTCCAGGATGGCAAGGGCGCTCCTGCCACTAACAGTGCCGGTATGGCAGCAAGAAACCACCATCCAAACACCAAACGTAATGGGGTGAATAGACCTAATGCTGCAGCCACGTCTGGCCGTCCGAACTTGGTGGGACCCGCATCGAGGGGAGGGCCACTTGCTCCCAACAATAGAGATCATCATCATCAAACGGTTGCAAACAGGCCTCACATGCCTACGCAAAATCATCATGCAGCACCTCACCACCATGCTGCAAGGACTGCACCGGCAGGTAACAAGAGCAATGGTGAGGAGAGAAAGGCAGAGAAGGCCTCTCGGCCGCAGTCTTATTTTGAGAGGATCAAGAAAACGCTGCAGCAGGAGATCTAACAGCTACTAGTATGCACTACTTGGCAATGATCTCTTGCGCTGAGAACAGAATCGATTCAATCAATTACCGGTACTGGGTTGAGCTGGTAGACGGCAGCTACGTTCGCAGCGGAACAGTCTACAGGGGACAGCTCGGGAGACTTCATTTCATTGACCTTTTTAATAAAAAAATGATTATACTGTGAGGTTATACACTTTCGCGCCATTTGCTTCTTATATTTTTCTCCGGTGGCAAGCGTTTCGTGATATCTCTCTCTCTCTCTCTCTCTCTCTCTCTCTCTCTGGTGAGCTAGCAGGGTTTTGTACCGGTAGCTAGATATTTAGATATTTCGAAAGATGCGGCCTCCTTTCTTCATGTTGTTTTCTTTGTTGGCTTTGTCTGCGAGGGCACGCCATTTCTGTGCCGGAAGAGGCCGAAGGGGTTCCTCTCGCCACTTCGATTGCTCCATTGTGGTCCGTTGGAGGGGCGACAAATAGAGTGATTCTGGTTTGACTGTTCGCACCCCATGGTGGCGCAAATTGGATTGTGGTTGCTGAGCCAGGATCGTTGACAATGTCGTGGATTCATCGGAAAAGGTAGGGGCGGACATGATATTTGTGAACGTTGAATTCTCTTCATCGTCATGCGAAACCACGGATCGAAGCTGCTGGACCGAGTAGGCGTTGCTCTGTTGTGGAACAGTTGCTACTGTCTCCTCATCCTCGTCGTCAACGGAAGCCTTTCCGAGGAGGTTGGTGAGAAGGTCTTCTGTTCTTTCCGTGCCTTGAGAGCCTCGGCTGTCTTCAGTGTCCTCGGAAAGAGTTACACTAATGGCTGGCATCGCATCCCTACCCTCCTGTCGGACAGTGGCAACCGACTGAACGTAGGACTCATCATCAGATTCCTCATCAGAGGGCATCTCATCCACGGGATCTTCCGGGATTGGGTCGTGCGCTAGAGGTGGCACGACGTTTGGCTTGCTGTAGTTGTAGCTGCTGTAGCTGTCCAAAGAAGCCCTGGAATAACTGCTCGAATGCGTCAAATGCGTTGTCGTGTATCCAACAATTTGAGGAGTGCGAAGCATTGGGCGATCATTGCTAGCCCCCGACCCAGTCCTAGAAATCGATGGAATCGCAGATGTGGGATCTAGTGCTGGACCGCCGTCGAATTTGGAGGCAAGTAAATGAACTCTACCAGCAGTGCCTCCTGTTCTCTTATAGGCTCTCGGGGACTTGCGTTTGACAGGTACATCCTTTTCCTGTTTGTTGACAAACCTGTTCTTGGCTGCCTTGAAGCGCAGAACTGGCGAATTTGTCGCCTGAGCCAGCTGCTTCTTGTCGAGCACGGGTGTAACTCCTTTCGAAAACTCGCAGTAGGTCCATGTTCGCAAGTTCTGTTCTGGCGTTCCAATACTGGCGCCCGCGCTGCTATCCTTCGAAGTCGTGGATATCGAGGGTCTGCTCTCGGATGAATATTCAAGAGACTCGCTAGTGGAGGCCAATGATGGTTTGGTTGATGTTGTTTCGAACGATGGTACTGGAGTGATCTCTTCCTGGATGGACATCTTCCGAAGGTTGGATTGTTTGTTTGACAGGGAACTTTCGCGCACTTTCTCGTTGCTACTGGTATCAAAGCTTTCTCGTCCGAAGACGGTATCGGACAAATCAGAAACCTTTGTTTCAATTGCCGGAATATCTGTGGGTACGTTCTGAGGAGGGGGGTTGAATGAAAAGTCCCACGTCACACTTCTACGGCTCTTTTGGGACCCCGTCTCGCTTGCCGCAACGCTCTGAGCATCCGAGAATCGGACCGACTTTTGGTGAGAGCTTTCGCTCATGCTGCTTTTGCGTGGTGGTCTGCCACTGTTTTTGCTCGATGCAACAGAACGACCGCTTCGGCTCCCTGGAATTCGAACTGGCTGCTTCATCAGCGAACGGGTGCGTTGACGCGACTCCAAGCAAGAAATAGACTTTGCGCCTTCTTGCGTGGAGAGCTCCCTTCCCGATGCCGCCCCCGAGGACTTGTCGTCATCGGGTTGACCGGTGATTGCGGGCCCATTGGCGTAGCTTGGCGAGAAGAGGAAAGCGGCATTGGTGATCGCTTGATTGGATAGCATAAGCTGCGCAGGAGACATCGTAGCTGACATGGGCGATTCTGCGGACATGTTGCTAAGGTGAGCTCTCTCCCGTTGTTTCTCCCACTCGTTTTTGTTTGCAACAGTGCTGGGGGTGTCCTCCAAAAAACACCCAAAAGCAATGTCGCGATAATCATGCGTTTCAACCATGCTTGGCGCAGATCCGGTTGCGTGTATTTCCAAGTCACGACTGGACCTTGAGATATTGTCAAATGATTGAGTAAACATAGTCGTCTGGCCAAGCTTTGCCTTTGCCGTCACCATTCCGCCGTTGCCGACATTGCTCACACGAGGCCTAAATGGAGACCCCTTGGGATAAGTCGCCAACGAGGTAACTGGAGTGAAGACGTCCTTGTCCTTGTAAGAGAATGCGCTTCCAAAGGACGTTCTGTCCTTCCTAATGAGGCTCTGGGGAGTTTCTTGGAGGGCCCCTTTGGTTATGATCTCAATCGTGTGACGCTTTGGTGCGCTCGTCGCCTTTGACACGAGGGCAGATTGGACAAGCACCGTATCGGCGGAAATGCGTCTATCGAGGAACGAGGTGGCACCAAGCTGCCCGGTCGTCTTTAGTTTCTCCTCTGAGGCCGCATCATCAGACTTCATGCTCCAGTTTTCGAATAGGTTTTGAACACCTCGAGTTCCAGGTTCATTATTCTCGTCGTCTGGGGCATTTCCTGAAGTCGCAACTTCATCCTGGCGCTCTTCTTCTTCCGTATCCTTCGTCCCAAGATCTAGATCCTTTTGATCGTTGGCAGTCACATCGTTTTCGTTGAGGTGCTTCGACACTGTGCTCGCACTCGCAGAAGCGTCTTCTTGTGCTTCTGTCGGGTGGCCGGTATCCGTTTCCAAAGTGGGTTCCTCGGCATCGCGTGCATCGCCCGCCTTTGAAACTGCTCCTTGCTCTTGACTCGGGGAGACCGACTGTCGAGTTACAATCGCAGTATCAAAGAAGTTTTGCATTTCGTCCTCCTGCGGATCATCCATCGATGCTGTGATGCCCAGCAAACTTTTAGGTTTCTCGTCTTGCTTGAAGAGTGCCATAACAGGAGTCGCGGTCGTGTTGTTGGTCATTGGGGAAGTTTCAGGCATGGACGCGCGAGGATCAAATGCAATCCGATCGAAATAGGCATCTTCGCGGTGCAGCATTTGAGTTTCATTGTAGAAACCATTCCAGTACGATGATTCATGCGAGGTGGCGGCGCTCCCCATACTAGTACTCTCACGCTTGTGTTCATCAGCATTTGGTCCGGTGGATTTTCGATTGTTCATCGTGTTGGAGCCCATGTCACTGCCAGCATTGGATGGTCGGTACGGCTCTGGGTTCTTCTCGTTCGGGTCATCTGCACCTTTGTCCGAAGCAGACGCATCTTCTTGGATACTCGGAGGATCCACCGGTTGTCGGGACAGTTCGGTTGAGCTGCTTGAGCTCTTGACGGCCACACGATCGTCCTTTCTCAAGCTAGTCTTGCTAGAGTCCGATCCGACGTTCGAGGCGCGTCCAGCCTTGCTCAAGCTGCTCTTGCCAGACTCTCGACGAGAAGCGGTTGTGGTGCTTCCTCCGTGATACGTGCCGTCATGGGATTCTCGCCAAACTGGGTTGAAGGAAAGTTCCTTCTCGGATCCATCAACAAATTGCAATATAGTTGGTTTCTGTGCGATTCTGGGTAATGGGTCTTGCTTGTACGGATCAAAGGTGGACGATAAAGATGGTTTGCTGCTCTGCTTTGGCTTGTCGGATTCCTTTCCAAGCTCGGCGCTGCTCTCCACTCCAGCTTCCGACGGTAGTAGTTCGCCACGCTTCGACTCAATTTTGGTGTTGTCTTTCATGAGCTGAAGCTTGTGGCCGCTCTCTTCGAAACAACCCGTGAGGCAGGTCCTTGCCCTGTAAACTTTGCGGCGGGCCTTGACAATAAGTGGTGTTGTTTTGTTGCGACGAGCATTTTGTTGATTTCCTTTCTTGCTGTTCTTTCCAGCACTTTTATCTTGACTTTCCTTGGAGAGTCTTCGAGCTCCTGTAGATGTCGATCGACGCGCCGTGAGTCGGTTGACTTTGTCCTCGCTTTCCTTGGTTGGCACTTCGGGGAAGTAAAACGCACTCGGGGGCGGCATCTCTCGAGTTCTTGATTCATGTTTGTAGGCATTGTCACGAGTAGCAATCACTTTTGACTTTCGGCGTCGATCTCCTGCAGATGTTTGCCTTGCCTTTACGGTACGGCCTCGATGGGCGTCTTGTCCAGCGCAGTTTTCTTTGCCAGCTGGACGAAGCTGCTGTTGCTGCTTCGGCTTGCTGTTTCGAACAATTTGTTGAACTGTTGCATCGCTCAACTGAGGATGAGGTCGTCTATGAAGGAACATGGATGGATCTGATAGATCTGACATGGGGGAGACTAGCTCAAACTGCTTCGCATTGCTCGTCGGGTCCCATTCTGGAGGTGGCTCGACTGCGGCCTCTTGCTGTTTTGAAGCTTCGTTGCCCATGATACCGGTATGCTACTAGCTACACTTCTCTAACAACCAAACGAAGAGAGGAATAATGTCAAGCAATTGCCAAGCCAAGCCAATACAATACGTAAGCCACACGGAATGGAGTTGTGCAAAGATAAGAGAAAATGAGATGGGAAAGAGCCGTTCCCAGGCAAAAAGTGAGCGTCAGAATGGATTCCACCAACGACTTTTTTCATTTAGGGAAAGAGTGCTCGACCGCGTGCTTTTTCCACGATTGATCGGCCCGAGGAATTTTCTCCCAGGGATGCCGTTGTTGTTTTGGTTGCGCTCGAGCGCTGCTCTTGGTGCTGGACCTCCCTCCATGCTCCATCGAAGATGCTCCCTTGTGCAGATTTACTCGGTACCAGGTACCAGGTACTAATATGACGGTAATGCAACTGAGATTACTGAGATCTTTTAGATTGTATCTAGCTACCGGTATCTCCAAGGTAGCTAGCTAGTTAGAGATTCTTGACAGCCATGCGGAGCTTCTTTTGATCCAACTTCTTGAAGGCGCCAATCATTTCCTCGTCCTCTACCACCATTTTGACATCTTCAATGGTGGTGGCACCCAATTCAATCAAGTCTTCGATCACCTTGCGAGGAAGTTTGTGTTGCTCCAGCCACTCTTCCATAGCACTGATTGTTGGGGGTGCTGGATTGGCCAGTGCATCAATAGCCTTGGCTTCACCATTCTCGGCCACGTCCTCTCCTACAGCTTCGACTTGGTTGTCATCCATTGGGATTCCTTCTTCATCATAATCGAAGAATTCCTCTTCGTCCTCTTCCATTTCATCTTCGTGCGACAGAGTATCATAGAATTCTTCTTCTCCTTGCATCTCAATGTCCATCCGAAATGGATTCCTGCTCTGCTTGATTCGGCGCCACCATCGCTGAATGCGCCGCGCCAATGCGTCGTCGTCGATCACCGTCGAGGCTCCAGCGTGTTTAGCCCTGTCAGAAGCCACATCAATGGTGGGACAGTCCAAAAACCACAGGCCGCCTTTCGTGTTTCGAATTGGAAGCGGCTCGACCACGATTTCTCCTTCAGGTTGCCACAGCAAGCACTCTCCTGCTGACAACCGACAACAGCCGGATGCTTCACTGTGGTATTCACGGTGAAGGTCTTGACCTTCTACTGTCGAGGAGGCAAGCAACTGATGCTGAAGGGAAAGCTCCGCTTGCTGCAAATGCTGGCGTAAGGAAACGTAGTTCTGCAAGTGAATTTCGTTTGGAAGCAGCACAAAGATTGGATCCTCGGTTCCGCAAAAGTTGTTCTCCTGGAGATACTCTTTCAACGACTTTGTGTGCAGTCCAGCTTCCTCCACAAGCAAGTTCTCGTACAGAATCAGCACGTCTCCGACAAACTCCTTCAAGCAAGACAAGGCGCGTTGCACACCATTTTCTTCGCAAAAGTCTTGCATCGATGCAACCATAGCAAGAATAGCCTCTCGTGACAAAGGATCCACAAGGTATACCGGCAGGTCAGAGTACAAGTACCCTTCCGAGGCAAGATGAAAGTTGAGGAATCGAACCAATTCAACAATTTGAGGCTTGTTCAGGGCAAGAAGAATGTCCATCGTGCTTGGACTCAAGTCTGGGAAGCCAATCTCCTTCATCTGTTCGTTCCGGGAAGGTTGTGTGCTACTTGCTCGGTTGCTGCCGCCAACTCCACCAAGTGCTTCTTCGAATTGCCCTGCGCCATCTCTGCTGTCGGGCGAGAACAAACCAAGCAAGTTGCGCAGGCCACCGAGAAAGCCAATGGTTTTCTGGTGACTGTCAAGTTCCTTATGCAGCTCAGAACAAAGTGCAGGGCGAATTGAGCTATCATTTGCATTGTCCCCAAGAGCAGCATGAAGCTCTTCGCGAACGTCGCAGACCAAGCGAAGATCTTGTTCCCGAGCAAAGTGTGTGCCGTCCACTAAATCCCTGAAAATGTCTGCGCAATCAGTGTCCTTTGCGCCTTGTGACTTGCGATCTGTTCGAAAAACAAACTCTTCGCGGAGGTGCCGAAGAGGATTCAGGATAGCAGGCGGTGACTGACAAAGGCTAGCCTCGACCGCGAGAGATTGGACCAAGCGATTCGGTTCAAACGCTGCAAGGTCTCTGTTCCAGACGCTCTCGACGAGCGTGTCAAGTTCAAGGCTTGACATTGCGGTTGAACGGTTTATGACCGCAGCGCCGCCGCTTCCTGCCATCAAGAACTTGGGATGGATGACTCGGTCGACAAATTCATTTCGAAGGGTACCAGGAAGCTTCAATTCAGAGAGTTGCTGGACATACCTATTGTACTTTGTAACGATCTCGTTGATCATGAGAAAGAGGAAGTCGCATCCTCCATCGAGCGGGTCGCTCCCTTCACTGAGAAGAGCAAAGATAGCCGCACCCTCTATCCTCGTGAACGGGATATCAATTTCTGTGCAGTTCCAAAGTGCCTTGTTGTCCATCTGCTCCAGCAATTGGTTAGCCCCTTTGACAACTCGGCCCCAAAGAGACGTCATGTGCCTAGCGTGAATTGAATCAAAACGACGGAGGAGTCTCGATTCTTCCATAACGTCTCCCATCGCACGTTCCAGGGCTTCTGCCTTTGACAAGATCTGGCCAAAAACGGAATGAAGCCATAGATAGAGCTGCAGAGCACAAGCGAAACACGCACAGCGGATGAGATTGGCAGTGCGACAACAGGAATAGTTTTGCGAAACCAGTAGCAGATTTACCTCAATCAAGTCAGGTAGAAGATCCAATTGTTCTACCAGCTTTGCCCCATTCAAGAACACTCGAACCACTTTCGAAGCGTCATCGGTGTCAGAGCAAGTCTCAAGGATGGCTACTGATGGAACAAGACTTGGTCCAGACGGGGCTCTTTCTACAAAGAAAAGGTATTGGGGAACCTCAAATTCTCGTGCTCGTCGCCAACTCGTTGCACCTCTCTGTAAACTCGCCAGCTGCGCACGTTGGGCCTCGACATTCCTCCGAAGGGGAGCTAATCTTTCTTCATCGACCCTGTAGTTTGGTGCGGTATCGACCTGAAAGTTACGACCGCATCCATAAGCGCCTTCACTGCCGATCGCAGTGTGGTAGTCACGTCCACAAGTGAATTGTCCACACGCCCTAACGAGCACCGCAAAGGGACGTCTGCAGTCTTGGTGAGGACACGTTTTTAGGTCCTGCGATTTGCGTTGTTCGTCCTCGAGAGCCTCTTGCAGGGCGGCCTCTGCGTTCTGCAGAGTAGTCCGTTGGTTGGCTACCACGGCGGGCATACCTTGACGCATTGGCAAAGTGAAGTCAAGATCGTGCAGCAAGCCGCCAGCCCCCAGTAAATTCATCAACCGGCTTTCGCTTCGACGGATCAGGAGAGAGAAGAAGAAATCAACAAAGCTGACTTGTGGTATTGACATGATTTGCTCCAAGATCGGCTTGCATATTTCATCGTATGGTTCTTGCAACGCCAACCCTCCCTCCGACTCGACAGCGATATCACGTGCCAATGCGGCGACAAAGCATATTGTAAGAGCATCTGCTATCATTGCAGCTAGTGCGGTTCCCACCAAAGATTCGTTTCTCGATGGATCTCCCATGTGACCCCGCTGCGATCGGGACAATCTCACATGATCTTGTTGAGTCAGTTGTTCTTCTTCGCTGATACTCACTTGAAGAACTTGAAGCATGTGCACTGAAGATGAGTCAAAGTTGCGACGCAAAAGAATTCCAAGCACCATGTCGAATGCTACTTCTGCGAGAATGCCAGTGAAAGAGTGCTTGTAGTTCGAAAAGAAGCCATGCCGCTCGGAACCATCCTTCCCATTCTCAAGGTCATCCTCGTGCCGGAGCCACTGCGGTACGTAATGCGGAAATGTCCGTCTTGTCCCTCCTTCCGAAAACACCGCTGGTTCACACACCAGAGCGACCTTGGCGTTCAAGATGCGGAGTGCTGCCAGCGGCAATCCAAGTTGCTGGTTAGAGGCTATGCCTTTGTCTTGGCCCCCGATTACTGTACAGGCCCTCCGTAATAGTGACACCTTCCACTGGTGAGAGTGATGTTGCAGCTTGCCCTCTTCCAATAGGTCAAGAAGGGTGCTGAAGTCTTCCACAAAGAATTCTTCTTTGGCCGCCATTCCAGATGGAGAGAAGAACTGCCACAAAACAGCCTCTTCAAGACTTCGGCTCCCGTCGATTAAGTCAAAAAGAACGGCAAGTGAAGGTGTTTGGACTTGAGTAGCCTGTCGGGCCCAAAATCTTTCCAATACAGTGGCCTCGATCTCCGTGTTTCGCGTTGGAAGCCGAAACAGGACATTAAAAATGTGCAAGATTCGGATGCGGCATGCAATTTCATCATTTACATGGTCAACGACACTGCAATGGTTCAGGAGGGCAGAGAAATCCGAGCACCAGGCATCTCTATCCTTGTCCGCAACCCCTGCAGTGACCGTGTCTTGGAGTCGTTGCAAGGAATGCATCAACAGGTGCATCGGCCACTGCGACAACTCCTTGATATCACCCTCTGCTTCTGGGCAGAGTCGAGGGTTTCTTACTGCCGCGATGGACCATGAGGCAGCCTTCATCAAGTCAATCTTGAAACAGCGAGCAAAACAGTGCACAGCAACAAGACTGCAGTCACCACGCATTTTCTCAACGGCATCAACCAGCCATGTCATGATGTATGGGTTCGCCTGAATGCCAGTTTTCCACGCAATAAACTGCCTCAGATACCTTTCGAAAAGCTCGTCAGAGTCGGCAACTGAATTCACAACTGACTCGACAACTGCCCTTGTAGAATTCCCTTCGGATCGGTTAGCCTTGTTTGAAAGCTCTTTCATGGTCGATGTGTACAGTGCCCTGTGGCTTATGTTGCCCGAGGCATTCTCCGCGAGTAATCCAGCTGACATCTCCATTGTTTCCTCAACTGAGTTTGAGATGTCGTAGAAAAATGGGAATTGCACAAAGGAACCAGTTGGAGAATCCATCACTGAGGGCATAGGTCTCACTTGTGTGCTATTTTCTTGCAGGAGCATCAGTTCTGCAAACGGTGGAACTGGCAACTTTCTTAGAATGGTGCCATACAAGCTGAGGACTTCCTTGTTCCCTGATCCCAACAAGTCGGCGTTCCTCCATGTGTTGATTGCCTTCATTGAGGTTGCCATGAATTTGTGAAGTGCCTCGAGCAATGCACTTTGGATCGAGGCACTAAGCGACAGCTGTGTGGTACCCCGTTGCAATCTGATACAGGCCATCCGCACAGTGGTCTCCAGACCCTGGTCAAACCAAAATGTCACAAATTTCTGACACAGAGAGTCTCCAACGTTGCCATCCTCCAATTGAGTCGATAACACATCCTTCAAGAAGTTCCATCGCGATAGGAAAGTCCCTTGGTCGCATGATGCTCGGCCCAAGTCTTGTCCCCTGTAGAGCAGTCTATTTTTGGATGCCAGATGTGACAGTACCGTTGGCATCATCTGTGACAGAGCAGCCACTAGCTTGTCATGGGGACGTTCCTTCTTGTCCCCTAGTATCCCGCCACAGGCAAGTCGAATGCTCTCTGATAAGGCCAGTGGTGGGCCGGATTGCCCAACAACATCCAAGACCGTATGGCGCCACTGACCCAAGAACAAGACTGGGTAGCAAGAAGAGGACAGGGAGCTTGATGATGGATAGTGAAGAAGCAAGAGGAATATCTTGCCTCCTAGCGAGTTCTGTTCGATACACATTCTGATGTAGTTCACATTATCAGTTGCGTTGGTTCCACTCATGTCAACAAGGAGCAGGAACACGCGTTTGGTACCCTGGATCCAGTCTGTTACAGCTTTCCGAAACGAAGATTCACTCGGGAGCGAGTCCATGTGTTCACAGACCACACTTTTATCGTCTGCACAAACAAGCTGTCGGACAATGGCTCGACTGCTTTGGTGACTCCCAGGAAGGTCTTCGGAGGTGTTGAAGGAGGGGATGCTGTGGACATTTGCATCCGTTCTAGTGTGGATGATCAACAGTTGGGGATCCTCTTTCTCCATGGCTTTCTCCAGGAAGAGCTTCAGCGAGAAGTGTTCTTGCTCTGCAAAGTATGCTTCAGTGAGGAACTGCGGCAGAACGTTTCGTTTTGCGTAGACGGCCTCCGGCACTGCAACTTGCAGTAATACAGACACAACATACTCAGTGAAAACCATCTGAATGATGTTTGAACAAACATCCTCGATGGGATTGGACTGTTCCATGTTCTCGTCATTGTCCTTGTTGGCGTCAACGTGGAGCAGAGCAGAAAGGGTTTCATGGACGCGTTCCATTCCTGCAGCATCGGTCATCAATTCTTGAAGGACATTACACTCATCCGTTGGAAAGCTGTTGGAAGCCTTGTCCACCGTTTTCTTGACTCGTTCCTGGATGGAGCCCATTGTCGTGACATGTCCAATAAATGTGGTCAAGCTACCTATGAAGGAGCTTTCCGTATTGAAAACAAGGGGTGGGTGTTCAGTCTTGTGCAAATTGCTGAAAGTCCAAGCTGGCAATAGGCCGGCATATGCACTGTCCAATGTTCGATTGTTAAATCCAACGAGTCCATGTTTGCCCAAGAGCCCCACAAGTTGTGCGGCCCTCTGGCGAGACCTCTGGAGGATTCCCTCAAGTTTTCCGAGAGAAGCCCAGCCTGCACTGACGAAATCACTGATGTCCAGACGGTATTTTTCAAATCTGTTTAGAAAGGGAGCCGGTGTCTGATCCAACAGGCCAGCACGCACGTGGACAATGCAGCTGAATGATGGATGCACCTGACACCTTCGAGACACTCCTCCCATGGCAATGTTGGCATACAGAGACACAGAACCATCAAGATTTTCAATCTCCCGGAAATTCTGGTTCTGCAAGTCATAGAAACTTTCGTCAATTGACTCTGTATTGCTCAAGAGCACTGTGTGGCCTTGCATAGCTGCAAATTTCACACCAGATATCACCCGGAGCTTCTCAGATTCCTTTTCATCAGGCAAGCTCGATATTTTGAACAGTGTCTTCTTGGATAGGTCCAACAAGCCAGCAGAACTCAGTAGCCGCATAATTGAATCGTCCTCGCTACAGTCGATAATGAGCTTGAACCGACCCCTGGAAGCTGAATTTAGGCACAATTCATCTGGCGACAGCACATCATGGATCACACGCATTGGGCATGGAGCTTGCTTGTCGAGAAAATCAGACAGAACACTTTCACTGTGTTGAACAACATGCCGCAAGCTTTCAAATGCAACATGCTTCCACTTTTCCAATTCCACACCGTTGAAGTTTCGGGAGAGTGAGGACATGATGCCGCCAATAGTCAAAACCAGCTTCCCTCCCCTAACAGAGGATTGTGTGCGAAGATACTTCAAGAAATAAATGTAGTCACGAAGTCCAAAAAAGGTATCAAGACCCTGGATATTCCGCATTGCTGAGTAGGATCGGCAGAGCCCAAGCCCAAACTCGTGAGCTTCAGTGAGGCTTCCGTCCAGATCAACGTTGTGGATCAGAGATCCATCCATGTTAGAGCCGTAAAGAACTCCTTTGGTCATGGTGAGCATTTCTTCATCATCAGGTTCCTCTCGAAAGAGCATAGCGCAGCGGTTGCTTTTGGCTGCATCAAGGACATGGTTTGAGATGGACACAAACGAAACAGCCCCATTAACAGACATGTGAGACTCAAGCAGGTAGTGAAGCACCTTCAAGGATTCCCGTCGCTCTTCTGGAAGCCCAGCTTCGTCCAGAAACACAACGCATATGTTGGTCTTGCGGTCTACCATCGTCTGCCTTCGAGTTGCCTTGCCAAACACCCCTTCAACTTCTGTGCTTGTTGATAGTTTGGAGCACTGATAGTTGAAATAGGAAAGCCTTGGGAAACGTTTGAACAAGGGGCTTAAGCTTTCTTCCCCTTGAGCATTGTCGCCGACAGCATTGACTGATAATGTCTACATGGGCAAAGAAACAACTTGAGGTTAAGAAGTTGTTGCAGCTTGCAGCTGACGGTGACATGCCCGGACATACCTTTGAACACCCAGGAGGGCCAACAACAAGCAAGGGTGTGCCTGACATAGTGCAACATAACGTCATGAAAAGGCTCTCTTGCAATCCCCGAGTTCTGGCAACCCCATCCTTGATGTTGGTATGTTTTGTGACATCTTCCAATGTTTCACTGAGGATATCGTCCAAGTGAAGCATCTCATTCTGCTCCCCAGCTAGATTCTTGAGTCGTTCAAGGTAATCTGTGCGACTAGCACTATCCAACCGGAGTAAATAAACCACTGCGACAGCAAGAAGCATCGCACTCCGTTCTTTCTTGGAACCTGCAATCGCTTCAGTCATTGGGAAGTCAGTAAAAAAGAAGTCATATAGGGAGAACACCCTTTGGATATCCCTCAAGGATACCACCGACTGTGACCGAGTCTTGGCTTCATCCTCGATTTCAGCATCGGAGTATTTCCCCGTTCGACGGAGAGTTCTTTTAATGTCCTTGGAAGCGAATTCACGCATTGCCTTAGTCATTGTGGATCATGAAGAGGGAGCAGAATTCCAGCATGAGACACCTGCAAATGGCAAACTCCCAAGGACAAAAAGAACGTGCCTCTGCTTACCTCTTGAGACAATGAAATGACTTCTGTTAGTGTCATCTGCAGGCGAAGTGGAACACTCCCAAGACCCCGCAATCTTCGAAAGATGAATTCTCTTTCTTGGGTTTTACTTAGTGCCCCAAAGCACCATTTCAAGGCAGACATCGAGGTTGGCAATGGAGACACTTGGTAGTGGCCACTGCACCATGTTCGACCCATGTCTACTTCCCTGGCATTGTTTGTTTCTATCATGAGATTGGATCTGGCAGGATTACACGCTGGTGATTGCAGGCATGAGAAGTGAGGAAGCAGTATACATAGCATCTTTGCACAGTTCCTTCCTGTGTACTTACCAGCAATGGTGATGATGTTTGTCTCCAACCTGTCGCCCTGAAGGCTGCAGTCAACTATGATCTCCTTGAAAAGACCCATCATGGAGGCTGTGTTGACCTCTTAAGAGTCAGAGATACAATGTGCCGTGACGATTTCATTGTTAGTCAGTGAATCATAGTCCCTACAGGCGGCTCGATGCTTGCAAAGGGCTTACCATCCAGAAACACCACAATTGGGACTTCTGGGATCTTGCGCGCAAGACGCCGAACGGGTTCAAAGCGGGCCACAATATCTGACTCTTCCATGGAGCTGTGAATGTTGATTTCGAAGAAGAACGAGTTGAGATTTGAAGAGGCTAGCCACTGCACCAGTTCTACCACCGTCTTCAACTCATTGTTGTCCAGCTCTTGTGGCATTGGTTGGAATATTGCGGACCGGTCACCACATACAGCCTTGATCTTAGCATGCAGCCAGTTTGACAGTTGTGTTCTCTCCGCCATACCCCGCGACTGTTCCAGAGCGCCTGCAAGCCGAGCTTCAGGGGAAGGCCCATCACCCATGGAATATCCATTGGATATTGCCTCTTCTTCAATGGCCTTCAAACTGGCAGCAGTGGATCTGCTTGCTTCTGCTGTTAGTGCCGAGTTCACCAGGATGGAATACTCTTTTGACAACGCTGTTTTGCTCACACCCGATTCACCCTCCATGATACAAGGAACACCCGCTGCGACTCGCTCATGAATGTTAAGAAGCTTGACGCCAAAATCCCTTGTCAATATAAAGCCGCTGTCATCTATGCATCGAAGGCGCTCTTGACCTGGGACACCATCGAGAGGAATCCCCATGGCCTGAGAGATGAGTCTATCGAGAGTTGTCCGCTTAGCAAGGTCTCGCTCCTTTGGGACAGTGAACCCCGGTAACTCGAGCCGCTCATACTCCCGTTTGAGTGCTTCGGGCATTGAATTTGGCGAAGTACACAACAACCTGAACTGAGGATTCTCAGGATCCGAGAAGTCGTAGATCAACTGAGAGTAGTTGGTTTCTAGCCAATCCTTCTGTTGGTCTGATTCGAGAAGCCTCTTCACCTCGTCAAACATAAGTTTCATCAAAGTGCCGCCAAGGCCAACTTTTGTTTGGTTGAAGTTGAAGGACTCATTCTTGTTCATCACGGTGATCCGTCGGTGCAAGAATTTAACCCAGAAATTCAATGTCAGCATGTTCAGATTCTTGGGCGCGTACAGCTCAATCAAGGCACGGCATTCGTCGTCTGTTGGCTCTCCAAGAAGGTCAAACGTTTGAGAGACTGGAATGCCTTGTTGTACTCGCTTGAATGCCGCCTCCATGGAATCCAGGGTAGAATTCGACCCAACGTAGAACCCCTTCGATCGCCTGTTTGAGTACTTTTGACACAAAAGACGCATCCTCTGCTCGTAGTCAGGGAACAGGTTTACGCCAACAACGACCAAATGGAGATTGCGCCGAGACTGCTGAAGTTGCTGCCTTAGCGGTTCTTCTGTGTCATCTGAGTCTCCATCTGTGAGGCAGACAATCCAAGTTGGAACAGGTTCTCCTCGTTCAACACGCTCAATCACAGAGCTCAGTGCTGAGAACATATGGGTCCCCCCACCCAATGGAATGTCGTTTCGAGTTCCGTTTATTTGTTCCCGCAGCTGTCCTTTATGGGCCTCATCTCGAATGGGAACGGTGGGAACAGCATGTTTGTGTTGATGATTAAACATTGTAACACCCACATGCTGGAACGGAAAGAGAAAAGAACTCGTGGTTAGGAGAATGCATCGTTGTCATGATACCAAGTGCGTCTGGTCACTCACGTCGCCAACTTGAGCGTGGCTGTCAAACATCATCAAAGCATAGTCAATGGCTGCACTTAGTTGAGTTTTGTTTTGCGATACTTCATACTCCATGCTTTCGGACTGATCGATGACAAAAATGACCTGCTTGTTCGTTTCGGGATCGAAGACATCGTCTATCGAACCATCTTCGCATGCGCGCAAGTATTTACTTGGATTTCAAGGAAAAACATTCGTGGGCAGATGTCAGCAATACGATCTGCGACCAAGGAGGAGGCACCTTAATTCGCACTCACCAGACGTTTCTCGCATCATTGTCGATCAGGAACTGATTTGTTGGGCTTTTGATCTGACATACCAAGCTCAGTAGCGGAATGTTCCTCCGAAGCCATTCCTCGCCATTGTCCGATCTGACTTCACTCGATGGTAGCTCGACATGGAGTCTCCATCTTCCTCGCCCAACGTAAAACGAGTAGTGCGATTTCGAGTCAGAATAGTGCAGGACTCCGAGAACCAAGAATTGAAAGAAGAACTTTCGTAACTGCTGGAACCACAGGGCTCTCGAGTCAGATTCCACTGGTATTGCTAGGACTGAAACATGCAACAACTTGTGGCCATCTACGTGTGAAAACTTGGAGGCGAGAGATGCAATCAATGTATCCGCATTGCTCTTTTCATGGACTGTGATGGTCCCAGTCTCAATTGAGCCATCCGAAGATCCTGACAGTCTTTGTTGTTCATCCCGAATGTATCTTGTTTTCCCTGCGCAGCAAAAATCGCTTACCACCACTGTCGCTTCAACCACAGCAGTGTTGTTGCCAACAACTTGATGCTTCCAAGTAAGGTTCAATGTTGGTGTCATGCTGTCACGACTCTCGTTTGACCAAACACGATGAACGTAGAAGGGCGATGCTGGTGCCAGTAGGGACTCAAACTGCACACAGTGAAAGCGAAGGTTCCCTGACGCTGCTGCCTTGCTTGAAAAGAAGGAACGAATTTTGGCTAAAGGCCCCTTTTTCTTGACTTGCTCAGGAACGAGAATAGTAAACGTGCATGAAGGAAACTCCTTGGCCCTCTCCAAAAACAATGGCAGCCTTTCTTCGAATGAAGGTGAATGCCCGTCCAGGATTTCCGCGTCACCAGGGAGACGATTCTAAGCCAAGGAAAAAGTGAGCAAGCGGATCGCAGATACCATTGCCCAAACGAAATCATACGCAACATACCTTATAGATCGATTGCAAGACACCCAATAAGACTTCGTCTCGGAGGTCTTTATCACAAGACAGACTGTGCACAACGAGCTCTCGCTCAACACCCTCAACGGAGAGTCGTTGGGGCTCCCCAAGGGCTTTGTGGATATCCTCAATGAACCTGGACACCTCCAGAAGCCAGGATTCAGACGCCGCCCTCATAGATCGGCCAGAAACAATGGCCCCAAGGTTGTCCATGTCTACTTGTGAAACATTTTGAGACGGAAGCAGCCGGGATAGCGTGTGAACAGCCATGCTAAGGCCCGCATCATCCTCCAGTGACAGTTGCTTATGAAGCTCCTTCAACTCCTCATCCCAGAACAATAGTGAGAGTGGGTGGTACCGTCGGGTCTCCTGCAACCAATTGGTGCAAACATCAGACCTCTGTCTGCATGCTTGGTGAAGTGTGCGTGCGTCTTCCATGTGCTGTTCCCCGACTTGACACGTGAAGTCCTCAATTCCAGAGTCGCGGAAGCCTGAGGACTCCATTTTGAGGACGAACGCAGCGGCTTGTTCAATGATCGCATGTTGCTCGGCGAAACAGTCGATTGCCGCGGCAATGATGCTGTCATCATGTTGAATATTACTCAGCTGCCCGAGAAGGGCTTCGATTTCGTTACCGCTCATATCTGCAACAATCCCATCCTTTCCCTTGTACTCTATGCCAAGTTCTTTCTCATGGAGCGAAATGAAGTACCTGCCACCTGAGATCTCCTGAAAAACACGATAATATCCATGGATTTCATTTTCTTCTTCACAGAACCATCGACGAACTTGCCCCAGGTTCTGTTGGACAACATTGAATTGTTTGAAGCGACCATCACGCAACCATTCCTGGACGTGTTGATTCGAGACAAGCGAGTTGAACAACGCCGTTACCTTGGATTGCTTTCTGTGGTCTCCAATAATTGAGATGATCCGAATCAAAGGTTCGATCACTTCGAGAACTGTCGTGTTGTAAGAATCCATATGTGTGTTCGACAGATGATCCAACTCTCTAAGGAAGTTACCGAGGCCTTCTGAACCAAACCATTGCTTCTCCGCTGCAAGGCTCCAAATTTCGTGATGTCGGCGGAGACAGCTAAACAGTTTGAGCAGCGGGATATACCGTTCCAGGTCTGCAAGGTCGTGGGTGATGGGCGCAGTTTTGTTGTCAGTCATAACCAAATGCTTGTAGAGCCGTTCGCATTGGCTTCGCGACCCCCCGATCTGATCTTGTCCTTGGATCTCTTCAATTGTATCTTTGATCACGTCGAAGCATTCGTCAGTCTCAACTTCGAAGCCGAATTGTGTACAAAAGGAAACGAAATCTGCAAGGGGCCTAGTCAATCGACAAACCAACGCAGATAGGAGGAAGCGATCGCACATCACATCATCAAACTTCAGGGCTTCACACCCGGCTATATTTGACACTTCTTGTTGGACGGTGACAGTATGACTTTCCAATTCAACAATCGCAAGTCTCACATCACTGAAGGAAGCTTCTTCGCTGAACAAACCCAAGATACCGCCAACGGCCTGCTCGACGCAACGACGAAGATCATTCACTCCACCACATCCGCCTTGAGCGATGCGCGAGAATCTCTGCTGAAACAAAACAGAACGATGTCGCGAAAAGTGTGCGCAGATGCGTAGCGCATTCATGCAGCCTTGGGAGAACCCTTCAGCTGCATCTTTGTGACTCTTCAAGGCCTGCAACTGTATTTCACGCAGCCTCTCATCATGGGGAGACAACTGGCTATCGTGTAATGGCGGTCTGGTCTCGACGAATTGAGAAAATGTTCCAAAGAGAGCCGCACAGGTGTGATCGTTTTCTGTGTGACAGTCATAAGCGACAAAAAGATCTCGCAGCGATCGCCCCCATTCCACGGGCGCTACCAATACGTTGCGAATTGACTCGACAAGACGTTCCCCTTGTTCGACCATCTCCCTAATTTCTGCAGAATCGGGCATTTCCAATTTGAGGTGGCGAGAAATCAATGACCATGTCTCGAGCTTACTGCATGCAAGCCCTGTGTCGAGCCCAGCAAGGGTAATCTGCCGAGACCTGAAGTCGCCCGTCCAATCTTCAAAGACTTTCACTAAGCTGTCCTTGCAACAAAACACACGATCGACGACGTCTGGCGCACGACCTCTGTGTGTGTCCACCACGGCAAAGCATTGAAAGATCAGTTCCCAAGCTCGCTTGTTTTCCAGCGCGACTTCGTCAAGAGAGTGCGGCTGCCAGCTGGGAAAGCTCTCACAGAATAGCCTTGACGCCAGGCTCAAAGATTGCATTTCATTGCCGCGCTCGATTAGGCGCAGGAACACAAGCGAAGCGGATTCCATGGAATCACACGCGCTTACTAGGGCTTGTGTCAGACCGGCTGCAAAATAGCGAGCAAAGCCATTGTCGCGAACTTTCTCAATGCGACCGATGGCATCCTGAAACGTGGCCAAATCCTGAAAGATGGCCCCGGTCTCGTTGGTAACCGCGTCAACTATCAAGGTCGAAATAACGTTTTCAAAACCTTGAGAGGAGTCTTGCATGAAGCCACCCTCCAATACGTTACATGTTTGTTCGACAATGTCGCGCCTCGAGTGCAGGCGGAGTGACTTCTGAAACGTCGCCAGGGCTCGAGTGCCCAAGAGACGGGTTTCGCCCGCAAAGTTTTGAAGAGTGTCCAGCAGCACGAGTTTGTCGAGCAAGGGAGTGCTTCTCAGCTCGAGTGCCTCCTGCATGAAAGTCACAAGTTCCTCCAAACCCGACTTATCACCCAGGTAATGCATTGCCCAAGGATAATCGAGTAGCTGCTCGATGTCCCTTGCCCATGGCCGCTTGTTTGTTCTCTTGAGATCGTCAATTAAGCTCCGTCTGATATGATATCGCACAGAATTTTCGATTTGTCGGTCATCAAGCCTTTCCACTCCTTCCACGATTGAATTGTACTTGCTGAAATGTCCATTGTTTTGGAAATTGGAGTGGGACACCAAGGAAGATATGATCTCCCCACGAACCCTTTTCGCGTCGTGATTGAGAAAGCACAGCTGCAATAGCGCTTCTAGCAGAGTGCACAGTTCTTCAGTCACATCAGAGCTGTTCGTGCTAATGATGCGGCAGCCACAATCCTTCAACATCTCGGAAATCGCAATTTCAACTCGCAAGAATCGAGTTTCTTTGAGCTCCAGGATGGCGGCGTGCATTTCCTTGATTGCACCAGGACGGGCCTCCAAAAACAGAACCAAAGTGTGATACCGAGCTGGTTTCAGGACCTCTGTAAGCTGATTCTTGTGTTGCTTCCAAAAATTGGGACCTAGACTGTACCGAAGACGCGACCAGCTCTCCCAGTCAATAGGAGATTTCAGCAAACCGCACTTCAACCAGAGCCAGAGAATATTGGTCCACAGCTTTGAGCTGAACTCAAGCTTTCGAAGGTCTGGCTGTTTTACCAACTCAACAAAAAATAGACGGAAAACCCCATGAGGTTTCTCATGGTCTTCGCGAAAATATTTCTCCATGGTGACATCGGCTTTTCGCTTTGCAAAATCGAAATCACGAATGACACGTAGGATGTTTCGCAACAGCTCTTCTCTCCCTTGACATTTTACAACCATCCAGAGCCGACAGGCAAATGCCAACTTCACGAGTCTATTGCCACCGGCCCTAATACCGAGGAATTGTGGCATGCGCTTAACGAAAGCCTTTGCCTGGCCGCCATCAGGCTCCATACCATCAAGAAGTTTCATAGCCTCCTGATAACCACTGTATTTCTCACTCGCATTCCATTTGGCACTATTCGTCAAGAGCTCATCATCGTAAGTGATACCCAGTACATTTGTCACCTTGTTCCACGCGGTTTCCACGAAACCCTTTTTGTTTTTCTCTGGGGCTTCATCACTGTCGTCCTCTTCTTCAGATGACGACATGGCTTCGTCATCCTCCTCTTCATCCTTATCCTCAGATGAACGTGTTTTCTTGATCGGCGATCCAGTTCCAGTCTTTTGCGCCTTTGAATGCGATAGCTCGACTTGATTGGTCTGGCCCATTTGGATGTATGGCGGTTCCCCCGATGCTTTTGCAGCCTCACTGTACAATCTCTTGGTTCCGTGCTTGTTTGTCGTGTCGTCACCAGCTCCACTACCCTGTGTTGAGTTCGCGGATTGCCCAAATGCCAACTCATCGCAGCCTTTTGGGGAAGGATTTGGGCTGGACTCTTCTTCGGGGTCAGAAGCTTCCGGAACAATTGCTGCTGGCTGCACAATCACCTTGGCTCCCTCTCCCCATGCAAGCACCAGGTCAACCAAATCTTTGTCCAAATGAAACACCGGAAGCGTTGGTTGTACCGAGACAGGCTTTACCACAATTAAAGCGGTCATCTGGGCCTTGTTGGCAGCCTCAACAACTAAGTCGACATGTTCACCGTCATAGATGCAAACTTTTCCCACCAGACTTCGAACATCATCCATAAAAGCGGTTGGATAGGAGACCCCATCGATCTTTTCCTCCCAAAACTTTGGGCGCACCATGTCAAACTTCGAATAGCGTGCAGTGGTGTCCAGACCGGGGAAAGGCACACTGCTGTCCGCTACCACCACTTTGGTTTCCAACGGCACCTTTCCATCAGAGTAGCTGAACTTGTATCGACCAATAGTCAGCTGGTATTTGGTTGTGGTAGTCTCCATGGTAAGAATCTGCAACCACGCACTCTCACAACGACGACTGTCTTAGGAGCACAGGCAAAAAGCCAACTCCTGAAATCTTTCTTCTAGTATTTTCCCTTGACTTCAGCAACGCCCAACAGCTGTCAGGAAATTTGTCTATTCTTGTTTTCTTCCTCAACGTGTTTCGATCATCGATGTGAAGCAAATCAATCAATCAATCAATCAATCCATAAAGAGAGATTGACGGCGATTCGATTCGTCAAGGAATTTGTGTTCTCCGAGTATGAAAATTTCCGTATCCTACACACTTTGGCGGATCCACGCTCCACAGAAAACCCAAATTCTTTCGATGGCATCGAATCCCAAGCAATCGAGCGTGTACACTCCTGGCTAGCTTACCGGTACGCTACCGGGGAATTAATTAGCCTTGTCGTCTGTCACCAAAGAGTAGCCTGTCTGTGGAGCGCCGCTGCACTCTTTCTCCTTTAGTTGGGTTTTGCTGGGAGGTTGCTTGTAGCGGTAGCCTCCGTAGTTTCCTCAAGCTTTTGGCTGTTGTTCCGTGTGAGGATCCAAGGTCGAAGGGGGCCAAAACGTACCGTACGACCCCCCAAACCAATGACAAAAGATCGTTCATGATTCGATCAGTCCCCAACCCAACCGTACCACAGCTACGGTACCATACCGTACAGTACCGTATGGTTCGGTATGCATACACGTAGCCATCTCTATGCATAGCTAGCTAGCTACTCGAATCTACTACACCAGTAGCCACTGCGAGTTTCCACCAACCCAATATGCCAGAAGCATCCCACTTGTTGGTAAGACGTCATAGTTTCGTTTTGACCCCAAATTATGGAACATGCCCTCCATGGAGCTTGCTCTTTTCCAACAGTACATCTAGAAGGAAGCCGGTGTTCTTTGTGAACTGCCACTAATAAAGAGTCTATGAAAGCTTCGGTTGCCTTTGATCAAGCCAAGGCAAGGGAGGGATGTCTTGGAAGGAAAACGGGCAAATGCGGTGCGGTGATCCACCCAAGACTGACCACTCTTGATTGAAGCATCAATCACGATCATGGCCCTCTGGCATGCGCGTTGGATTGGATCTTCGCGCGATCATCGGCCGAGAGGATCGACGATGGTGGCAATCTTTCCATCGGTCTCCTCCAGTCTACTAGTACCTTTTACCAAACCCTCATTTCGTCCTTGCTCGTTAGTACTTGTTAATTGCAAATAATCTCACTGTCTCACTGCCAGTGTAAAGGCAAGGGCGTGAAAATTCGTGGACGTGTTGCAGAGCCGAAGGAGGAGACGGAGAGAGAACGATCTATCGGTAGATACGAGTAGCAGCATTTTTTTGGGTAGCTAAGATGTGGTCGTCACAGTATACCGGTACCCAGGCACCTCCCCCCCCTGCTGGTGGTGGCCCACCTCCAGCTGCACATCATCAAGGACCTCCCCCGCCACAAGGTTCTTGGGATTCCCAGGGAGACCAAGACGAACATGGCGGAAGCGCGCTAAACACAGCCGTGGATTTGGTGGCATCTGCCGCTTCGGGTTTATTTTTCTCGTCATCAAATAATAATAGCAACAACAAACCACCACCACCTCCGCAACAAGCAACCCCACTGGTCAATAACCCCTATCAAGCTTGTTCGCAAGGAGGACCCCCACAAGCATTTTCGCCTCATTTTCAACCGCCCATTCAACCCACAACGTCCATGTTAAGCACGACACCCCGAACTCCCGCTGCCTCGACTCAGCCGCCACCCATTCAAGTCACGTCTTCTTTGCTTGCTACAGCTTCTAGAATGCCACCGCCAAAAACACCTGCTGCTGTCACTGGTATGACTCCTCGTCCTGGAGGACCACCTACGCCTCTGGCCAATCAACCACCTATGGTAGGATTAGCACCACCCATGCAACCAGTGTCAAGCCCACCACACACTACTTCGCCTGGGCCTCCCAGAGTAATTTCGGTGCCCCCGGGAGCAACAAACAGACCAGCACCACCACTTGCAGTGTCTGCTGGTCCGCCTGGTCCGCCTGTAGCAGCTTTTGGTCCACCTCCAATAGCAGCAACTACTGGCCCACCACCTTTGGCAGCCTCTGCTGGCCCACCTCCAATAGCAGCAGCTACCGGCCCACCACCGTTGGCTGCCTCAGCAGGACCACCACCAATGGTAGCCTCTGCTGGGCCACCTATGGTAGCCTCAGCAGGCCCTCCTTTGGCAGCCTCTGCTGGTCCACCATTATCTGCTTCGTCACGGCCACCGCCAATGACAGTTACGACAGGTCCACCGTCTGGACCATCAACGGGGACTTTTTTGAATGCGCCACTGGCATCCTCAGGAGCACGCTTGTCCACGTCGTCGACGGGAACACCTTCCAATGTGACCCCACGAGCGACGCCTCCTGGAACGCCCTCGCCGTCCGAGAAACACCCGATTTCGGCACTCTCACCACGATCCACGAGCACCAAAAAATTGCCGTTGCCGCCCCCTTCAGACACACTCAGTCGACGTGCAAAAACTAGGACAAAGAAATTCAAATTGCCTCCCTCGTTTTCAACGACAACTCCCAAAAATAAAAAGGAAAAATTGCCGTTGCCACCCAGAGGGGGAGAAACGCCGAAGCAAGTTGCAGCTTCGAGCAGTGCTAAACCACCACCAACCGCGACAGCGCCTGCGACTTTGTCGTCAGCCACCCCTCCATTAACGTTAGCACCACCTACAACAGCCACTGATGCTACACCGAAACGGAGCAATGCCGGGGCACCTCCTGTGCAGGCAGCAACGACAGAACCGGCTCCTGTGCAGCAGTCGCAGACCGAACCACCCATCCAGACCGTGGAACCAGTTCAAACGAAAACGCCAGTGGTGGCAGAATTAAACCAAGCCCCAGTAGGGGTTGACGCAGTGCCCACGGAAGCGACTTCTACTCCTGAAATCATCAGCTCTACAGTTGCCGCGTTGCCCGAGGGATGGAAGGAGGTATCCGATCCAAATTCTGGAAAGGTTTATTTCTACAACGAAAATGACGGACGCACTAGCTGGGATCGTCCCGTGCAGGAAGAAGCGGCGACAAAGACTGTTCCTGAGGAGCCAGCAACAGTGGAAACATCACAGGCGACGGCAGATCCACTGGAAACCAAAGCTGAACCACAGGAAGAGTGTGATGAAAAGAATGAATCCACCAAAAATCTCCCAGATGGATGGGTAGAGGTGACAGATGATGTCTCGGGAGGTCTTTATTACTATAACACTGTGGACCAAACGACTAGCTGGACGAGGCCTCAAGCGGACGTGCCTGCTATGGATACATCGCCCAATGCTACGAATGCCACTGACGAAGTCCCTGCGGCATCGCCCGAAAAAGCACCCGAGGAGGCGCCTGTTGCGGATCATGTGGCCGAGGAACATGCACAAGCAGAGGCCGAAACAGCGGGCCCGACAACAAGCGAAGAAACATTGGCAACTCCTCTTCCCTCTGGGTGGGTGGAGATAATGGATGAAGCTTCTGGTCGTCCTTACTACGTCGATTCGGTTAACAACGTTACGACGTGGGAGCGACCAACGGCACCGGTTGATGCTGCTGTTGAGGAAGAAAAACCTGAGACAGCCCCCGGAGAAAAGGGTGATTTACCCACCACAGCTTCAGCAGCAGAAACTGATTCAGGGGATTTGGCTCCAGAGCTCACCCAAGCAAAGTCAACGGAGACCACAACAACAACAGATGACGACAATGCTCCAGCAGCGGACAGCACTATGGCGATTCTTGATGATTTACAAGAAGCCCTTCCAGATGGCTGGATCGAATGCGTCGATCCTGGATCAGGTCAAATTTATTATTGCAACAAAGTCGACAACAGAACGACTTGGGATCGCCCAACTATAGCAGTTGAAGGAACGGCGGATGCAATTAGTGAAGAGAAAGCAGCGCCCGCTGAAACAGCAGTTGAACCTGCGCCAGAAGTAGCAGGCGAAAAGGAGGAACCGAGCACAGTCGCGCCTGAGGTAACGGAGACGGCGGAGCAAGCGGAAGAAGCCGCACCAGAAGAAGAAATTGTTGTCGTTGACGAGAATGCCGAGGGAGAGCTTCCACCCGGTTGGACCGAATTATTGGACCAAGGATCAGGTCGACCCTACTATTACAACGCAGAGACTCAAGAAACAAGATGGGACAAGCCCGCTCCTGTTTCCGCTGACGCATTGGCTACGGACGGCGTCATTGTCCCGAGCCAGGACGATGTTGCGAGAACAGAGTCCGATGGGTTCGTGGTTGTCGAAAACGAGGAGCCACCCGTCGAAGAGCCCACGCCAGAGCTGACGCACGAGGCTGCTGGGACAACAGCAGAACCTGGCGAGGTCGGTAGCCCTGAGGATATGAATGCTGAAGGCGAAACCACTCCAGCTGAATCTGCAGAACAAGCGTGCGACATGTTCGAGCCGCCAGTTGACCAAAAGGTTGAATCGCCAGCCGACAATGATCTCCCCCCTGGATGGGTAGAGAAGTATGATGCCAACATGAAAATTCCCTTTTATTACAACGAAGCTGAGGAGAAGAGCAGCTGGGAGAGACCGACCGCTGTGTCAGATCTGATCGAAAGTGAGCAGGAAGCTGCTCCGCCAGAGCCACCTGTCGTCGACTCGGCCGAGAATGCAGCTGACGAGTTCGACCAATTGCCAGCGAATGGCAAAGAAGAACCTGAGCCCAGAAATGAACCAATTCTTGCAGATGATGCACTACCAGTAGGCGCACCAACACCGGCGGCATTGGAAAGTACGGTTCAGTCCGACGATGTAGATGGCGACTTGCCACCTGGTTGGGAAGTCGGTGAAGATCCAACAACCGGAGATGTCTTTTATTTCAATACTATCGAGAAGATAACGACGTTTGAAAGGCCATCTCTGGCAAAGGGCACCCCGGAAGTCTCGGCAACAGAGCAGACTGATGGTACGCTAAAAGAAGGCGTTTTGAGCAGTCCAACTGAGGACAATGAGGGTGTCCCAGAGAATACTCCCTCCCAATCCGAATTGCCACCTGGATGGCAAGAGATGGTTGACCCAGGAACAGGGAATGTGTATTACTTCAATGAAGTAGACGGAACAACTACATGGGACAGGCCTGTTGGTACAGTCGAAAAAGGGACAGAAGCAGAAGATGAAACACACCCTGTACGAGTCACCGAAGAGGCTCCAACCAGCTCAGCAGACGAACAAGACATCCATGGTAAAGGCGAGCCGAAAAACGAGGATTTTCCCGTGGACACGCCAGCAGAGTCTGTGTTACCGCCAGGATGGCAAGAACTTGTAGACCCTGGGTCTGGAAACGTCTACTATTTGAATGACGATGGGGAAACTACCTGGGACCGGCCAGCTGTTATACCTGAAGAGTCGGCTTCTGGTGACAACGCACCAACGGAAGACGAGGGTGCAGCTCCTTTGGATGGTCCAGTGGACGGTCCCGAAGGCGATGGTACACCAAATGAGGGTAACGATGAATTCAACCAAGAGAGTTCAAACGATGTAGCAGAAGACGGAAAGCAAGTTGAGTTGCCCTCAGGATGGGTCGAAATGCTTGATGAAACAACAGGCACGCCATACTATTGGAATGAGGTGACAGGCACCACAGCGTGGGAGCGTCCAACGCTTGCCAGCAATGGAGACCAACCTCCAACTGTGGGCGTTCCGACCATGCAGGATGATGAGATGCTTCCCGAAGCGTCGCCGGAGCCTGTGCAAACTACGGAGCAGCTGGAGGAGAATGCTCCATATGGGGCAGAAGCAGTTGTAGAAGAGATTGCTCCAGAAGCCCACATTCCAAAGGAGCAAGAAGCCATAACAGATTCTGATGCTGTACAACCATACCTGCCTGAAGGCTGGAGCGAAGTGACTGACCCGTCGACAGGAAGAATCTATTATATCAATGAGACTGATGGCACAACTTCATGGGACATGCCTGTGGCCCCTGCAGTGGAGGACTCGAGGAAAAATGGCTCGGAAGGAACTCCTGGGGTTGAAGGAGAGTCACCCGAGCAGTCCGGATTTGACGAATCTATTCCCACAGGTGTTGATAGCCTGGAGCAAGCGGACACTGTGGACGAACCGTTCGTCACTGCAGGCGATGACTCCGCACTCGATGCTCACCATAAAAGTGCCCTTGAAACAGTTGAATCCGTCGACAAAAAGGACGGGACAGGTGCATCAGATGAGCCATCGAAAGAAAGTATCACCTCACAAACCGCTCTTCCTGATGGATGGGTCGAAGGGTTTGATGAGGCATTGGGAAAGACATATTACTATAATTCGATTTCAAACGAATCTTCATGGGAGAGACCTACATGGCCACATGTGACGCAAGAAGAGTTGGCCACAGATGTGGCTGATACAAACGAGAACGTTGTTGAGGAGATTGAAGGCGCCCCCGCAGAATCCACAGAGGCGATTGCTGGCCAGGAAATGAATGAATTGGTGCAGGCGTCATCGTTGGAAGCATCTGCTTCACCTCAAGCCGAGCCAGAGGAACTTACCGATCAACCCGAAAGTGGGGATCTTACTGGACAAGAATTTGGCAACGCCTCTCAACAAAATCCAGGAGAGGCTCTTGGAGAATCTCAACCGAGAAGTGATGTTCCAGCAGAATCTGGTCTGCCTCCTGGATGGACAGAAGTGAAGGATGAAACATCTGGCAATGTCTACTACTACAACCAGGACACAATGGAATCTTCATGGGAAAGACCTGCAATGCCACAAGGCCATGACTCCGCAGAAGAGGCCGTTGATGATGAAAATGCTGTAGAGGAGGATGTTGGCACTGAACCCGAGGGTACAGCCACTGTTCTAGAGACAACTGTACATGAAAATCCTGACAACGCCCCGGACTCTGGAGGTGTGTCCCAGTCTTCGCTGCCATCTGGCTGGGCTGAAGTGAAAGATGAAGCATCCGGCAGTATCTACTACTACAATGAGGTGACACAGGAGACTTCATGGGAGATTCCTGGTGGGCCACAAACTGAACCTGAGAATCTTGAAAGCGATGAGGTAGCAGAGAAGGAGCAGGCTCAAGTGGATGCCATTGGCGAATCCACCCACGATAATCCTGAAAACATGACAGAGGCAAATGCTGACTGCGTGCCAGACAGTGCTCCTGATATTCCAACACAGTCAGGGCTGCCTCCTGGCTGGGTTGAAGTTAAGGATGAAGTATCTGGCGGTATCTACTACTACAACGAAGTGACACAGGAGACTTCATGGGAGATTCCTGGTTTACCACAAACTGAACCTGAGAATCTTGAAAGCGATGAGGTAGCAGAGAAGGAGCAGGAGCAGGTCAAGAGGATGCTATTATTGGTGAATCCACCCACGATAATCCTGAAAACATGACAGAGGCAAATGCTGACAGCGTGCCAGACAGCGCCCCTGGTGTTATAGCACAGTCAGGGCTGCCTCCTGGTTGGATTGAAGTGAAGGATGAAGCATCTGGCAGTATCTACTACTACAATGAGGTGACACAGGAGACTTCATGGGAGATTCCTGGTGGGCCACAAACTGAACCTGAGAATCTTGAAAGCGATGAGGTAGCAGAGAAGGAGCAGGCTCAAGAGGATGCTATTGGCGAATCCACCCACGATAATCCTGAAAACATGACAGAGGCAAATGCTGACAGCGTGCCAGACAGTGCCCCTGATGTTATAGCACAGTCAGGGCTTCCTCCTGGTTGGGTTGAAGTGAAGGATGAAGCATCTGGCAGTATCTACTACTACAATGAGGTGACCCAGGAGACTTCATGGGAGATTCCTGGTTTACCACAAACTGAACCTGAGAATCTTGAAAGCGATGAGGTAGCAGAGAAGGAGCAGGCTCAAGAGGATGCTATTGGCGAATCCACCCACGATAATCCTGAAAACATGACAGAGGCAAATGCTGACAGCGTGCCAGACAGTGCCCCTGATGTTATAGCACAGTCAGGGCTTCCTCCTGGTTGGGTTGAAGTGAAGGATGAAGCATCTGGCAGTATCTACTACTACAATGAGGTGACCCAGGAGACTTCATGGGAGATTCCTGTTGGGCCACAAACTGAACCTGAGAATCTTGAAAGCGATGAGGTAGCAGAGAAGGAGCAGGAGCAGGCTCAAGAGGATGCTATGGGTGAATCCACCCACGATAATCCTGAAAACATGACGGAGCCAAATGCTGACAGCATGCCAGACAGTGCTCCTGATGTTATAGCACAGTCAGGGCTGCCTCCTGGTTGGATTGAAGTGAAGGATGAAGCATCCGGCAGTATCTACTACTACAATGAGGTGACCCAGGAGACTTCATGGGAAATTCCCGGGGGTACCGAAGTTGTTGAGCCAGAACCGGTTCTGCAGTCTTCAGAGGCTTTGCCTGAACAGGAAATTCCAGCGGGCGTGTCAGAGAGTGAGGGGGCAGGAGAGAAGGAGCCTGTGGAAAAGGAATCTGAGGCTGTGCCATTCCAAGAGACCGCGGGAGAGCTAGACCCTGCAACTGCAAACGATGCACCAGATATTGGAGCACAATTGGGTCTTCCACCTGGTTGGTCTGAAATGCTAGATGAAGGCTCTGGCAACATGTTCTACTTCAATGATTCAACTCAGGAGTCTTCCTGGGAAAGACCTGTATGGCCTCATGCTGAGCCTGGGCAAGTGTTGCCGGAAGGTGTGTCCGAGGGCGAGCAGCTAACAGAGATTGATCAACTTGAGCAAGTGCCCGAGGTGGTAGCGGCAGCAGGTACCTCTGAAGGCCCAGCAGATGAGGTTTTGGATACCACGCCTGACAAAACTGTCGAGCAGGACATTGCACCACCCAGTCTTCCTTCTGGCTGGGTGGAAGTGAAGGATGAAGGATCTGGCGATGTGTATTTTTACAACGAAGTGACACAGGAATCATCATGGGAAAGACCTGAACAGCCCCAAGGTGAGCCAGAGCCAGCACCTTCAGATTCTGCGCCCAGAGATGGCTCTTTGGCAGAACACGACAGAACCGAACCTCAGGCTGATGCAGGCGCTGCTTCGTCGTCAATCGATAGAGACGAACCTGCTATTGAGGCGATGGATCAGGTGGCGACGGCAGCACCGAGTCAAGCACAGGATCCAGTTGGAGAGGCAGATGTATTGGTAGAACAAACCCCGTCGGATGCGATACAAGACGGGTACGCAGCTGACGATACGGCTCCGCAGTCAAGTCTTCCACCTGGCTGGAGCGAAGCTGTGGACCCCTCTACTGGCACAACCTATTATTTCAATCACACGGACAACACAACATCGTGGGAGCGGCCAATGCCAGAGAACGATGCGACTGTTTTTGAAAACGATGTAGTTGTTGATGAGCATGAAAACGTGCCACCCAACGAAGCTTCGGCTGTTGAGGAGACTCCAGCCGCTACCACCGACGGAGCTAACTCTGAGATTGCTACAATTGAGAAGGAGGGCGGCGCTGCTTCGGAGCCGGCGAATATTGATGTGTTGGCCCCTGGATGGGTGGAGATGATTGATCCTGGATCTGGCAACCCATACTATCTAAATGAAACTACAAACGAGACGACCTGGGAAAAACCTGTTGCTGAGACTGAGACGAACGACGGCCAGGACTCGGCGATCCCAGGCGAGCTTCCCGAAGGCTGGGAAGAACAATTGGACGCTACCGGACGAGCATACTATGTAAATACAAGTTTGGGCCTTACGCAATGGGAACGCCCCGTTCCTGTTGCGACTCCGCAAGAAGCTATGCCCACCAAACCTGCATCTGATGGGGGTGCAACGGGTGGAAAAACTGAAGCTGCAAACAGGGCTGTGCGACCAGCTCACGCTCTTTGTTCTTTTGGATTTGGAGGACGCCTCTGTGTCTTCCGAGCAAAGGGAAAGCGTCTTGTGGAAGTTCATCGCACCCGGAACTTGATTCAATCACACAGTTTAGTCCAAATAGAGACATCAAAGGAGCAATCTGGCATCGCTGGTCCCCTCAACACAAGCAAACCAGCGTCTGTAATTTCCTACCTGGAAACAAAGAAGCAGGAAAAGCCAGCGGACATTCTCTGGCAATTGATTGACATTGTCTCAAACTCGAGGGGTAGAATTCGAAGTCAAAGCGGCATATCGAACCCAGAAAGCCCAGAGGCTGCTATTGTGGAACTGATGCTGCAGGACGGGACAACACCTCTGAAGCCATCGAGTACTGGACAGAATGGCAACACGATTCCTCCACATGCAATTTCGGAAGGGGAAGTGGGCAAAAACGGTAAGCTGACGTTTTTCGACTGTTTTTCGACTGTTTTGCGAGCATTGTTTGCACATTCCGTTGCTGACATTTACTGGAAACCGCTCGTCGACAGGGAACAATACCGCAGCTCAAATCGAAACTATCCAAAATTTTATTTTGAGAGGAAAGCGTGTAGAAGCCGTCGAAGCAGCGCTCGAATCTGGAAATTTTGCCTTGGCACTCCTGGTTTCCTCATTTTGTGATTCGGACACTTATCACCATGCCGTGACACAGTTTGCGGAGAAAGTTTTGCAGACTAGCTCTCCGCTGCACACGATTGCAATGCTTTTCTCCGGACAACTTGGATCTTCGATTTGGTCGGCCGACTCAAAAGATTTGCTTGGAAACTGGCGCTGTCATCTGGCTGCAATCATTAGTAATCGAACGCAAGGATGGGAAAGAATCGTGTTCACTCTCGGATCGAAATTGCAGCAGCTTGGCAATGTGCACGCTGCTCATGTTTGTTTCATGGTTTGTGGTCTGCAAATAATGAGCCCCATCCTGCCAGAGACTTATGTTAGCTTGTTGGGCAGCGATCATCTTCTCCCCGAGAACGTCTCCCTGATGACTCAAGAAGGACTTGAGGCTTACGAGAGAACTGAAGCCTATGAATGGGCTAAGCGACGGGGCAATCCAAATGCCCTGATCAAGACATTGCAACCGTACAAGCTGCAGTATGCCATGATCTTGGCGGATATGGGGTTTGTAGAGCTTTCGAAGAAATATCTCGAGAACATTCTCGTCATGTGTGATCTCGCTGGGGACGAAACAAGATTTGACAACATTGTCGCGGCTCGACTAACAGTTCCAGAAATGTGTGAGACCCCAGCCGCCTTTAAAGCTGCCTTGGCAAGCTTTGAGCAGCGGCTTTTTCAAAACGTTCCGGATGTGGACGCCGAAAAGAAAGCGGCAACGACTCCGATTGTTGCCAAGCCTTCACCACAATTGCGGTCACCCCCAAAACAAGAGGACTTCCCGGCCATTTCCCCGTCGCTTACGAATGATTCTGATATTAGTTTTATTACTGCGGCGTCCGATGTCACCGACGCTCCACCGCCATTCGGTCAAGGAATGGTTCAACCGAAGACAAAGGACAAGGTGACCCAAATGGCAAGAGTGGTACGGAATCCCAAAAAGGATACGAAAGCTGCGATCAAACCAAAAGCAGCTGCCAAAGCTGCAACCAGTACAGTGTCCACTCCTCTTTTAGGAGCCACAAAAAACGTTCCTGTAAAAACTCCGCCAAAGACCGAAGCTCCGAAATCAGGACCTCCTTCTTCCCTGGCTGCGTCCTCTGGGCCACCTTCACAATTGAAGACTCCGCCTGCTAGCAAGCTAACAAAGAAGGGCCCGTCTGAAAGTAAAGAAAAAGCAAAGCCATCGGGGAAGAAACCAGAACCAGCCCCAAAATCTGCTCCTGCGGTAATGCTTCAAAGTAAGTTGATTTCGTGTTTTTCCACTGGTGTATGTCTCTTTTCGCTTCCTCACAATGTACCTTTCTCTGTTTCTTCAGAACGAGACTGGACGTTTGGATTTTCCAAAACCATGACCAAGTGGCTGAACCCCGATGCTACTCAGGCAGATGTTGGCGGCAAGATGGAGGCCTACTATTGCGACGAGACGAAACGATGGATCTTCCCCGGAGAAACACCCGAGGATATCAAGCCGCTCCCCCCTCCTCCGACACCCATGGATATGACGCCGAAGGAAGAGCCAAAACCGGAGCCAGACATGGCCACCGATCCATTGGCAGCCATGATGGCTCCTCCAAAACGAACCCCTGCTTCGTATGGGAGATCTAGAGCAGGAGCGCTGGGAGTTCCATCGACGCCCCGTTCCCTCTATCCTGGAATGACGCCTCCGATGCCTGGATCAGTCATGCCGCCAGGATCAGCTGCTGGCCCTGGTGGGAGTGGTGCTCCTCCACAGTTCATGGTTTTCAAACCGTCACCACAGCCAGAGAAAAAGGCCAAGGATGGGGAAGGCAACACCACAGAGGAGAAATCAGCAGACAAGTAAAAGTACAAAATAAATCACAAACGAATTATCCACTAGTAGTAGGGCTACAGCCAATACATACATGTAGCCTAGCTAGCTGGCTCTGTGATAATATGCTTGCGGTATGCTACAGTACATGCATGTTGCGAGTGCCGCTCTTGTTGCGAAGTACCGTACAGTATGTTTCTTATAAGAGAGGTCAATATTTTATTCTGAATACAGCTCTGCAGGTTTGGGGGGAAGCAAGCGTGTCTTCGCTGCGCGTCGCGCGTCTCAAGGCAGCGCCGTTGTTATCCAAGAGAGAGATTTCATTCGATCATTCAATCTAGCTAGACGGTGCTGTTGAGATGGAGAGGCATTGTTTGCGTTGTTTCGATCTATCCTCTCCTCACAACAATGTCAATGTTTCCTTCCTTTTCAAGGACTCCAAAACATAAATACGACACCGATGCTCCTGCAAAGACTCCAGGTGGCTGGAAAAGTGTGTTAGGTATCGCGACGACGACGAAAAAGGAGCCTCCTCCAGACTCCGTAGGCGCCAGTACAGCTTCTACGCGGCTAAATGGGGGCATGTCCCACGGTGCCAATGCTTCCGGATTGACCAGCAGGGACAATGCTGGTAGTCCTGATATTGGCGATTACCAGTCACCAGCAGCAGCGTTGCAGTTCTCCCCAGAAGGCAGGGGAGCCTTTTCCATCGGCACCAGCCCGACGAGAGGAGGCCGCAAAAAACCCTCTCGTCTCCAATTCTCGGCTCTCTCGTCACGCAATTCGCTTACAAATGACGCGACAACTGCCACTGGCACACCAGCGCGAAACCGTGTTGCTTTTGGTGCCGATGTGGATCAATCAGGCGTGCGAAATAGCCGGTCACCGTGGCGTGGAGCATCCTCGCAACTCACGACAACCACCGCTGAACCGTCTGTTTGGCAAGGGAGCCGAAACCGATCTAATGAAGTTGCAACCTCGACCTCCTTGTCTTTTCTATCCAACTCCACCAGTGGCCGTGCTCGGAGATACCGTCCAAATTCAGGATTGCTGACAGGGTCCAAGGGTGGTCGGCGTTACCGACGAACTGGAAAATTGGACGAGGAAAAGTTTGGAAAGGCCCTCGCAGGCGTTCGAGACACCTTTCTACTACCATACAGTAACCAAGATTCGTCTACCAACGTCTACTCAACAAAGGGCGGAATACGGTGGGGTTCGATGGAGCGGCCGAGTAGAATCCCTCAAGCCGTCCACAAACGACAACGCCCCGCTCAACGGATGAAAGTGGCCGATTCTGCTGATGAAGACGACGACTTTGAAGGCGAAAGGAGTAGGAAACGCCGAAAGAAAGTCAGCTTCAACGAAGATGACGATGATGCCGTCATGACAAACACTGTAGCAACCCCCCACGGAAGCAAAGGGAGATTCAGGCGAAAAGCAACCCCAATGCCGAAGAAGGAAGGGAATGCTGCATTCGGATCTCCAGCTTCAACAGTAGATGATGACGAAGATGACGAGGTCATTGCGCCTTCTTTGCAGCGACGGGACAACCTACCTACAGCTCCTGCTCGTCTTGAATTGAATTTCGGCTCCTTGAACAGCGACGCTCCAGTACCCTTGTCTTTTCCTTCGGGCATTGTGACTTCCTATGATCCAACGGTCCCCGATCCAGCTGCTTGCGATCTCAAATTTGGTAGTTCAGACATTAAGTCAGCCAGCACTTCCGAGGGGATGGTATCAACCGAAAGCAAAAGCGAATATGACAAGAAGCGTTACGATCGTCCGTTGTCGCCTGTGCTCCGAAGAGGAATCGATACACCTGATGACACTGTTCCTGGACAAGCTCAAAAGAGACTCAAGCTCGGTGACAACAAGGACGAAGAAGTAGTCCCGGACTGGGTTTGCGATAACTGCCAAGCCAAGAACTCAAACGACGAATCCAAGTGTTTAAAGTGTGAGACTTACCGTAAAAGCGTGGCAGTTGCTGGGGGGTGGGGGAATTTGTTTGATGACTTCCAAAAGGACAAATGGAAATGCCCTGCTTGCAGCTCCTTTGTGGATAATAGCAAGGATCAGTGCCAAGCTTGCAATGAAAAGAGACCCGCAGATGTCGGAACCAATGCAGCCGCCGCTCCTTCTCCGACGCCCAACAATTCCAGTGCTGCCCCCGCCTCGAAATCTTTTGCCTTCGGGAAGCCAACCCCAAACCTGCCCGTTCCGACAGGGCCTGCTCCTGAGAACAAGTTTGAATTCAAAGCTCCTTCTCCTGGCGCTGCCGCTCCCGCAAGCACTGGTGGTTTCAAATTTGAAGCCCCCAAGAGTTCGGCCTCTGGAACGGGATCGGGCGGCTTCCTTTTCCAGGCCCCCCAAGCTTCGAAGGAAGGCAAACCGGCCACAGCGCCAACAGCAAGTTCTGCGGCAGTTGGGGGTTTCATCTTTGGCGGTACCGCTGTTCCAGCAAGTGGCTCGAATGCGGTAGGTTTAGATGCTGCGAAACAAAATGGAACAACAGCCAGTGCCTCGAAGATGTCTGCGAACGCGAAGACGTTTTCGCCTGCCAAGCGCACGGGGGAAAATGGAGACAAAAAGCTTGGCGGATCACCCAAGAACGTACAGTTTGGATTGTCGGAGTCTGCTGGCAGTGGCGCAGGTAAAGGAAACTTCGGTTTTGGAACCGATTCCACCTCAAAGTCACAATCGACATCTGCTCCTGCACCATTTGCTTTCGGGTCAACAAATGGTGGTTCTGCAGAGGAAAAGAAGAGCCAAATTGACCCCCCTGCTCCTGCACCTTTCGTCTTTGGAAAAGCACCGGCTGGTTCCGAATCGAAATCGTCGGAGCCGGCACCAGGTAGTTTTACGTTTGGTTCAGCTGCTGCATCATCGAGCGGAGAATTCTCGACGTCCTTTGGGACGAATCAAGCATCAACAAGCGCTCCGTCGAAGTCCTCCATGAGCGAGCAAAAGCCGAAACGTCAACGGGGGTATGATTTGAGCAACGGCGAGAAGACGAAGGCTGCAAAGACTCCAACGTCATCGGGAGCGGCATTGTTTGGTGCCCCTGCATCTGCTGCTCCGAAGGAACCTGCTTCTGGCGGCACTAACGCATTCAAATTTGGTAGCGCATCAGGTGACGCCGGGGCCGCTGTAGGCAACACACCAGCAGCGCCCTTTGGTAACTCGAGCGCTGCTCCATCAGGCGGGCTTCAATTTGGTGCTTCCGACCAGACGTCAAGCAACGGTACCTCGAATTCATTCACCTTTGGAGCATCTAGTTCTCAGGCACCTGCACCTGCTCCCACAACTGGGTTTGGTCCTGCAGCTCAAGCAACTACTTTCGGCAGTATCCCTGCTCCTGCGCCCGCTGTTCCCGTCGGTGGTTTTGGAGCGGCGCCAGCATCAGCCACAACATTTGGAGTCGCCCCAGCACCAGCCACAACTTTCGGGAGCGGCCCTGCTCCTGCGTTTGGGGCTGGGACGACGCCAGCACCAGGAGTAGCCTTCGGGGCTGCACCAGCACCAACCCCAGGTTTCGGTTTTGGTGCTGCTTCTTCGACAGGCTTTGGTTCAGCCAATCCGCCTGCAGCAACTCCCGGTGCACCGACATTTGGTGCTCCTTCCAACACGCCCGCAACCAGCTTTGGTGCGCCTGGCTTTGGCTCGCAAACACCGGCTGCGAACCAGGGCTTCAACTCTGCGGCGTTTGGCAATGGCGGAGCTGCTAGTTCTGGCTTTGGAACCGCGAATGCAGCACCCAACTCGACAGGAGCCTTTGGCACAACTGGCTTTGGTGCGCCCCCTGGTGGAGGGTTTGCAAGTACGCCTGTTCCCGCTGGGGGCTTTGGCGGGGGAGGCTTTGGTGCTGCAGCGCCCCAGGCACCTTCAACGGCTCCAAACTTTGGTGCTGCAGCGCCCCAGGCACCTTCTACAGCTCCAAACTTTAGCATCGGAACATCTGGTACGAAGCAACGGCGGAGAATGGTTCGCGCCAAAAGACCTACGCGACCAGCTTGAAGCGACAATCTACAAAGCTGAACAAAGAATTGCTACCGTATAATAACATAGTTCGAAAGCTTGTCTGTTCCCACCGGTACTAAGCTAGGTTTGTTGCCTTTCGATTGCTGGGTAGTTGCTACCAGGTAGCATTTTAACATAGAATACTAAGCAGCCAAGATTTCTGCGGCAAACGTTCCTTTTGTCTAGTGCCTCATTAGGAAACGTGAGGTTAACTACCGGTAGTGTGCTGGCAGAGTTGGGTACGGTACCGGTACTGACACATCAATGACGGCTTCGACCTGGCCGCATTTTTTCCATGGCTGCGGTACTTGTGCATGTAGGCGGATGGAAAGTCTACTTGATGTTGCACTGATTGCTTAGCTAGCTAGATTAGATTGTGTTTTTAAAAGTGGAAAAGTGGAAAGAGCCCGTGAAGATGGAAAAGAGCCCTGTGCTGTGTGCTGTGTTGCCCATGCTTCTCACTCTTGTCGACAACAGCCAGATGCCGGAAGAAGATTCCGACGGGATTCGGATCAGAGACACTGGTGAAAGTGGAATGGAAGGGTTGACAGCGATATGAGAACACTGGGAAGGCCCTTATGAGGGGTGCATCAAGTGATCCTTTTATTATTCCCCTCTATTTTGTTTGTTTCAAATTTGAATGAACGTACCGCTACGAGGTTTAAAGCGCTCCTTCTTCATTTTCCTCAAACTGCATCCCAAACTGTATCCTTCAAGCAAAGTATCTTACAAACGATGTGTAAGGATCCGATGGAGAGCATCAACGTTGCGGTCACAAAACAAACTCAAGGTGTGTTGTGTTGATCCGACCGACAGAAGCTAGCTAGCATCAGAGAAGGTGTCAAGCACAGTAATCCAGGAGCTCCAACTGGACCTCTACCTTGTTTTATTTTTCTATTTTGCCAGGCTTGAACGCTACGATGATGCTTGCTTCTCGCCGCGTTGCTCAGCAACATGCCGGAAAGGCTTCTCGAGCCTTTGCCTCGACGGTTACAGGGACTGCCGGCAAACAACAGTCCACCGGTGGAAACAACTCCCAAGATTCCTACCATGGTCCCATGGCAGCGTTGGGAGCCGCTCTTTTTGGAGCTGCCAGTGCTGGGGCTGTTACCATGATGGAGACAAAGCAAAAGCTACCCAAGCAAAAGTACACTTCGCCGGAAACAATCCCCATTGTGGGCAAGGAGAGCCACCACAGTGATTACAATGACCCTCCTCCTCGTCCTGATCTTCCAACTTTCAAGTTGGATGATGTGGCCGAACACTGTGATGAATCCTCGCTTTGGTTCACCTTTCGAGGCGCCGGTATGTTTTGTTCTCTTCTTTTCACATGGTTTCTCGTGAATACGTAGGTTTCACACATTCTGACTATCCCTTTCCTTCTTTGGTAAAAAAGTGTATGACATGACCTTTTTCCTCAATGGGTATGTTCCTTCTGTGTGATTTCGCATGTATTCTTGTCAAGGCGTGTCTTTTCTGATACGGTACATTCCCTGCTCCCCCTTCTTGTCGATCACATTTATTTGCTCGCAAACTTTAGACACCCCGGTGGTACTCCTGTAAGTTGATCATTACTTTTAACGAGTGCTTGCATTCATGAGTGCACAAAAAGACTGTAGACTCATTTGCTTTCCCTACTTTCATCTTCAGCGTCTTTTAATGGCAGGAGGACAAGATCTTGAACCCTACTGGGAAGTGTATCGTCAGCACTTTCGTGGCCATGTTGTTGCCTGGATGGAAGTGAGTTCAGTTGATTTACTTGAATTTGTGCCAGCAATATGGCCAGTCCTGTTGATCTCACCGAACTTCGCTTGGGTTTCTCTATAATATACAGCGCCACCGAATTGGAAATCTGTCTCCCGAAGACGCCAAGAAGGCAGCCTCTATGGACTTTGGAGACATGTTCGAGACAGATCCTATCCGTGATCCCAACCTCTTGGGATGTACCATCAAACCATGGTGTGGAGAACCTCGCATTGAGCTTCTCACACGGGACTACTTCACTCCCAATGAGCTTTTTTATGTGAGAAACCACCTTGCCGTGCCCGACATTGACGTGGAGGATTACTGCCTCATCGTCAAGGGAAAGGGAGTCAAGAAACACAAGTTCACCTTGAAGGATCTCAAAGAAAAGTTCCCCAAGCACGAGGTTGTTACAACCTTGCAGTGTGCTGGAAATCGTCGTGAAGATATGCACGATGACAACCACAAGATTTACATTGCGCCCCACTGGGTTGTGGGAGCCATGAGTACCGCGAAGGTAGGGACATAGCCATACGAGCCGCGCTGGTTTGTCGGTGGAAGAACCTGTATTCTCACTCACCTATCACACGTTTGCCGCTTAGTGGGGAGGACCCAAGATCCGTGATGTCCTCAAGTACTGTGGCATGGATGTGGATGCCATGGCTCTTGGCGAGAAGACCCCTGACAACATCAAGCATGTCCAATTTGAAGGATACGATATTGATGAAACCGGTCTTTGCTATGGAGGTTCCATTCCCATTGACAAGGCTGTGGATGGACTTGGTGACTGCATTTTCGCTTACGAAATGAATGGAACTCCACTGCCCAGAGACCATGGATACCCAGTAAGAGCAATCGCTCCTGGACATGCTGGTGCTCGGCAGTGCAAGTGGCTTCACAAGGTCATTGTCAGTGACAAAGAATCGCAGAAGTCCTGGCAACAGAAGTCATACCGTGGATTTGCTCCGGACATCAACTTTGAAGGTACGAACATGCCTTTTCTGGCCTTGGTTTCTTGTGCTAGATACTTCCGTTCGCTGTACTTACTGTGGCACCATCATATCTATACTTTTGCAGATGACCTTGCCAACTGGCCTCCTCCAAGGCTTGACCAGGCACCTATTGTGCAAGAAATGCCCGTTCAGTCCCTTGTCTGCAACCCCCCACAGAACTCTTTGTTGGGAATGAAGAACGCAACAGACATTGAAGTGAAGGGTGTTGCTTGGTCAGGTGGTGGCCGTAAGATTGAGCGCGTGGATGTGTCTATCGATGGAGGAAAGAACTGGACAGCTGCTGAACTCTACAAGCCCATTGAACAGCGCCGTAACCGCCACTGGGCCTGGACCCATTTCAGCAAGACACTCCAATTGCCAGAGGAGGTCCAAAAGAAGCTCGCCAAGGGGCAGCAAGTGACCTTGGATATCTCTTCCAAGGCGATGAATTCGGACTTTAATGTCCAGCCCGAGAGAATGGAACCTTACTGGAATGCTCGAGGTAAGTTTGAGATATCGCTGGTTCTGCTCATGATGAAAATGGCCAAGAGATGTGCTCAAAGAGCTTCCGTTTCCAATGCTGCGAAGGTGTTTGCATCAATCACTGGTACCATGTGAAGACGACTCTTGATCCTCACCGCGAAAAGGGCACAAAGGCCCACGACAACACTACAGATGAGTTCGCCAATACTCCTTCAGGTGGCAAGTTTGCTCAAGCCTGGGGCACCCACGGATGGACGATTGATCCCCAGCATCAGTCCGACCCGAAGGCAAATGTGGCTCCCGAAGCAAAGCATTTCTAGGTTGCATGACGAAATCGAAACGAAAGAAAAGAGTCAGCTCTCTTTGTGGTTGGATGAGGAATAAGTAGGCTTAAAATACATGTTAGGTCACAGCTGATTATTATATATGAGTGATAGTGACGTGCGTGAGTAATGAAATAATGCGATGGTAACAAGGTGGGGCAGTTGATTGCAAGAGCCATGATGGAGTATCATAGAGTACAGTCGTAACAACTTCCATAGATCGTTGGCAAAGCATGGTGGGGTGTCTGACTGGGATTATCTTTCTCAGCGGCGCTGTTGAGACGAGCTTGCTACGGTGTATTCTCTGACTCGGATGGTAGAATTTCAGAATGACGGTCATGGATTCTTCTCGTAGGGCGATTGCCCCCTTGACAACGGCTGGCCGCAGTATTCGTGATGTCCTTGAATGCAACTGCGTCCACCCTGTCTGTGAAGGGAGTTGAATCGCGGGAGGGAGAACCTAGAACCAAACTGTTGGACCCTGATGGTTGCGTCATGTAGCCTTCGCGCTGTCGTCTTGTGGGGAATTGCCAAAGCTCGTCGGCATTGTGTCGATTCTTCCTCATCGGGGATGTCATCGAGGGTGATACCGGCACATTTTGTCGAATAGGGCGGTTCATGGTCCTTATCTAGCTTCTTCTTGGCAAAATGCGCTCTCTAGAGATCTCTTTTGGGAATCAGCAAATTTCCTTTTATGAGACTTGTACGGTACTAGCTAGGATTGGTTTGAGCGATTCGGAACCATCACGCCGCCCATCATCGAAATGGTTCGGCCCGAGAAAGATGCTACGGACGCCGCTTGGTTTCGAATGATGAGACCGGAGTGAAATCGTTACGAGGAGGAGTTGTTCGTGTTGAATGTTTGGAACCTTTCGTGGAAAGTGCGTGCCTTCTAAAAGGAGGACTGTTCTGGCCTTCCTGTATCTGACCCACGTCTCTTTGTTCCTTTACTCCGCTGGAAAGCTACAAAGAACTTTCAGGCCGAACCGAGAGGTTGCCATGGCGAGGAAAGGTCGGAGTGTTTGCCAACCATGTTTTGTAGCTTTGAAGCCGTCAAGGCTGTCACAATATGGAGTTGGACCGTCGGGTCTGAAGACACCCTGTTGCTGCAAACGAGCTGCTGCACATGTACTATCTCTAGCTAGTGTACTTCTCTCACTCACTTTTAGATGAAATATTGCTGTTGCAGCAAGCAAATACAGGTTTCACGCCGGTAGATGTTCGATTCCACCAAAAACTCCATCAGGCTGTCAAAGTTTCTTTAGTTGGCAAGCAAACCCATGTTTGTTCTAGCTAGAAAGGCAGCACGGGAGCGACATGCATCTACATGTACTGCAGTAGGTAGCTAGATCTAGCTAGCTGAGGCGAGGGCGTGGGCTTCTCGTTTCTTGGTGGATTGAAGAAGCTATTGAACAATCGAGCACGAGGCATATTTCGGCATCGTCATCCCGTGGGATGGTCTTCTACCCATGTCTTCAAAGCCAGCTGATTTACATGTATGTATCTATCAAGTTATAATCTATCATCTATCTAGATCTATTGTACTTTTACCTTGTTCTAACTAATTTAATAATATGCTACAGTACACAGGGGGCAAACCGGTCCCTTCAAAACAAGAAGTTACCTGGCTCGAAACTGGTCTTTTTGAAAAGTGTTCTGTAAGCGCAATCCAGGGTCGGGATGGCGCTTTTGGCATTGGTTTAGACTTTCAATCCTGGGTGGCTGGGCATGCTCTGCGTTCATTGCTCACTTTTGGCGCTTCCAGAAGCCAAGCGACAGGGATTCCTATTTTGTTCTTTGCAACGATCACCTTTGGGCACCGAGGATCTTGTTGTTACAATTTATTTCTCTTGCTGTGTTGTGCATCGAGTAAAAGGATTTGAGACCATGTCGACGGCAACAAAGACAGTAGAGAAATCTACCAATGAAAAGGTAATCTGGGGGTCTGATTTGCACCTTCACACGTCCTTTTGGCAACAAGAAGTCAATCGCTACCGTCCTTCAGTATGGCTTCTGGTCAAGTTTGCTGTTTTGTACACATACTTCAAAGGAATGACCGATCTTGGTGGCGCTTACTGGCCTCGCATTGTTCAGTACTGCAATGAAAAAAATATTGACCCGGCAGATATTGCCCTTCCTGGTGCGATGGGTCTGGCCTTTACGTTCTTTGCCATCTATGGGTATGGATTCTTTGGTTTCATCAACTACTATTGTGACGACTGGGACTTCTTCAAAAGGATCCGTATTCACAAGGGCGACTGGGCATGGGTGACTGATCCCAGAGAAGATGGTTCTGGAGTCTATTCGGATATGTTCAAGGCTTGGTTGTTCAATAACTCCTTGTACATTCCTACCTTTCCCCTTGTCAAGTATGTGATCGGAACTTCCTGCCCATTTCGAACCGATGCGGACTCTTTACCTGGTTACTTTGAATTGATCTGGCAAGTTGCATTCAGTGTGGTTTGTTTTGATGTGGTGTTTTATCACATTCACAGAATGCTGCACCACAAGGACTTTTACTGGATCCACCGAAAGCACCATTCTGTCACTGTTGTCGTTGGGCCAGTGGGCGCTTTCTATCATCCAATTGATGAGTGGCTTGAAGCAATCACTGCTTCATTGTTTGGTCCTTTGCTCTTGTGGGATAAAATGCATATTGTATCATTTCAGGCCTGGTTTGTTTTTGCAATTTGGGCAGCACTTGAAATTCACTGTGGTTATGAACTGCCTTGGAATATGTATCAAGGTAAGCGTGGTTTGGTTTGGTTTGGTTTGGTTTGGTTTGAATGACCTTGTTTCGCAGGGATGGACTTGTCTCACTTTTCACTGTTGTTTTGTTTCGTCCCTCCAGCTCTTCCCTTTTCTGTTGATGCTCGATACCATGACTTTCATCATCGCTACCATCACAGAGGAAACTATGCAGCGGTGTTCACTATTTGGGACTACATTTATGGAACCAACAAGGAGTACTATGAATGGGTTAGAAACGGTGGACCCTTTGAAGACTTTACTGATGTTCCTTTTGATGAGAACAACAAGGTTCAGCAGAAGAAGTTGAATTGAGGAAGTCTGACATTTGTGTTTGATCTTCAACCTCCGATACGTCTCTATTTGTGGTAGAAAAAGCCAAGAAGTTAATCTATAGTGGAAACCGGTTGCGATAGCATTCAAATTCGCTAGTAGCTAGCTAATACTAGTAGGACTGAGTCACTCCGCAGAACGTCGTCGACTGGGAAGGTTCTTCGACATGAACGTGTACAATATGGTATGTGATGCCATGGTTGTTGCTATCCCCACGGTGGAGTACAGAGGTGTATCTAAACCACCAGAACGACACCTCATCAGGTACCAGGTACACTACATCGTACCGTATGTACTAGCTAGCTAGCCAGTGGTATTACTGTACTTGTAACGGTACAGTTGTACCCGTGCCGCTAGGTCTCTGTACACGTGCCGCACGGAGAAGGAACCATTTCGCCAACCACAGAGTTGGCTGGGTTAGAATTTTGTTGTGGTGGTCCCTCTTTTTTTGGTCCTTTTTGTAGGGTTAGGGTTTGCTGAGTTTGCCTTGTGCACCGTACCGGTAATAACTGTGCGAGCACCAGTACCGTAAAAGTAAATCCCTGAACTGAGAGAAATACTGAGAGCCTGTACGAGTAGTAGGGGATCCTACAGGACGTATTGGACGTATTGATCAAGGTATCCAACACCAGGCGACACCTGGTGTTTGCAAGGTCGATCCATCCATGTTAATACCAGTGACGACCTAGTGAAGGTCACGTCCTTGACCATAAGAAAAATGAGGCTCGCACCTCTACTACTCACTGTTAAGATAACGTCGTTCGCACCTCTATTATTATCTCGTACCTCTGTTATCTCGCTACCAGTGCTAGCTAGCTAGAGAGAGTACGTTCGAAAAGCACAAGTCCACGAAATCACTACCGGCACGAAAAAGCACAAGTCCACGAAAACGAAAAAGATCAAGTCCATGCATGTAACAAACTCACTATTAGGCATGGCTAGCATGCTGATTAAACTAAGGTCAACTTTACTGAGCACGAACAATACAAAGATCCTCATGCAGACTGCCCATAATGGTGTCCTGCTTGATGGCAGCAGTAATATTCAAAACACTTCCTTTGTAATGCTCCTCAATCTTGGAGATGACCCAAGCTGGAGCTTTCTGAGCATTGACAAGTGTAGCCATGAGAGTCCAGAGTGGCTTCCTCCTGGAGTAGGTTGACTTGCAAGCCCTGATATCATCAGCAGTGAAGTTCTTGGCTGGCTTGTTGCCACCAATACCATGCATCCACTCTTGCCAAGCAGAGCCAACAGTTCTGTACTTGGCTAGCTTGGCAGGCCTACTATCAGCAGGGGTGGTGGCCACAGCTTGTCTGTACCTGAGGCTAGTCTGGCCATTCCGGCGAGTCCTTTCCACAGTCAACCCATTTCTAAAAAGATTACCATCTACCTGATCAGGTGTTGCCATCCTTGGAGGCTGAACAGCAATCCTAAAAAGCATACAAAAATACATAGTTAGCAGCAGTAATAGCCATAGTTGCAATAGCCAACAGCCACAAGTCCACACTTACCTGCAAATATTTCCATTGAGTTTCGTCAGCTCCGCGCCAAGCCAAGTCTCCAACCAACCTCTCAAAGCAGCAGCCGAACTGTCGCGGGTCCTACCTTCTTGCGCTATGAGCTGCTGGAGCTGGTTGTGCTGCGCAATAATCCTTGTCAGAATCTCCTCGTTCGTTCGTACCTGCTGTTGCGTTTGCATAGCCGTCACCTGCCGAGACTGATTGGCAACTTGACGAGTGCTTGCCTGGCCGGTCGTTCCCGTAGTGCCACCAGCCGTGCCACCGCCACCTCCCGTATCCATCGGCTCGATTTCGTTGATGTGGAGCTTGGTGTTGTGCGTCCAAATAGAGAGAGGCACTTTCACCACAGGGTTGACGCCAACAGGAATATCGGCCTTGATGCGCTCGTACGCATCTTGGATCCTAACACGAACGGGAGGCTCCATCCTCTCCTCCCAAGATTCGTCAAGAGCAGCCCACAGAAGAGGCAGAGCCAAGTGAAGCGAAATGTCGTTGACACCGTCGTAAAACGCATGCGTCCTTGGCACCACATGCTCAATCAACCAGTCGGGAGTCACTCTCTTGGCATCCGGGTGTAGCTTGTAGGCAATAGGAGCCCCCATGCAAAGCTTTTCGGCAACACGAGCGTCGATCCAGGGCTGTTCAGGCGAAATGTAGGCATCAACAACCCGTCCAGACAAGCGAGCCTTCCAGCGACCTCGAATGTCAACTTCGTCAGCAGTAGCACCCATCCCTCTTGCCAGAGTTGCAGCAAACTTCCGAATGCTGTGACTCCCAAGAACACCAGCAATGAGGAGCGCCACAGCCAGAAATGGAGCCGACAAAAAGACAGCCTTGAGAATGTTGCGGTAGGCTGCGTTGCAGTGCTTGGGAGCCAACTTAGGATCGCTTTCGGGAGTAAAGAGGAATGCATCTTCCCGACCAGCGGCGCCATACCCGTAGTTGAAGGACGCCTCCATGTAATTCGCCAATCCGAGCATAGTGCAATACACGGCTCTTAGCCTTATTCGCGACTCGATCCTAGATAGGGTTTGAGTTCGACTCAT